CTAGTCATACTAGGTTGATGATGAAACATCGCTCTAGATATTTAGCCAGCGTGGAGTACTTCCACGCTACTAGATCCATGCTAGACGAATCTTCCACGCGTTCCGTTTTAGGATCGTGGAGATACGTAGGATTACTACCGCAACCTACTCTATCACACTTTATAGTCTCCCGCGGGAAGCCAGATCTACGATCCTTTGATGATGATCTCTCTCGTTGATTAGTTTTCATAGCTTTCTAATCTCTCTCATAACTTTCATTCTCTCAAACTCAAAACACTCGAAAGATCTTTACACTAGCTTTTAGCGTAGTGCATTGAGGCTAAGTAGTAGGCGTGGTGCTGTATAGAAGCAAGCAATAAGCCATCTAGAATGATCAAAACATCGTCTGAAGTCTAAACCGGCGGTTAAATTATTTAGAAAACCAGCCGTTTCGTTCCATACAAAACGCACCTGTAAATAGGGACGGTTCGGTCCCCATCGGTCTCCGGTCTGCCTAAGTAACTGACCATCGGGCTAGCGGGCTCGCGCCCTCTTAAGCCCTCGGTCAGTTACTTAGGCAGCCCTCCGACCTCGGGGCCCTCCCTGACCATCGGGCTTGCGCCCTCGGTCCCCTAAGTGAGCAGGTTCGTTTTTTATAACTGCGTTTGTCGCTGCTGCTCTTTTTGTAATTGGCGCCAGCATTATTTGTTCCGCCAATATTGGTTCTAGTAGTAGAAGCAGACGCCTGAATGACAATGTCACCACGAGACCTCCCACAACAACGGCTCCTCCAACGACAACGGCACCACCAGTAGGGACAGTCGAGCTATTTGGGAGAACGTATCCTGTGGCAACCACGACGAATATCTGCCGAGCATATGAAGGGCTCCATGGAACGATTCCAACAACCATTGGACGTTTCACCGCTCTGACTTACTTGGGTTTGCATGGGAACCAGCTGTCGAATAGCATCCCATCCGAGATTGGATTGCTCACTGCTTTGACGTACATGAGCCTGGACAACAACACACTCTCCAACTCGCTTGTTACAGAGATTGGATTGCTCACAGCGTTGGAGATTTTGTGGTTGAATGACAACCAACTTGGGAACACCCTTCCCTCCGAGATGGGACGGATGACAGCATTGAGTACCCTCATCTTGTCCCAAAACCTTTTTATGGCGCCATTCCGTCCGAGATGCAAGAAATGACAGCGCTGGAAAATTTGTATTTGTCCTACAACTGGTTATCCAACACCATCGCGACAGAAATTGGTATGCTATCAAAATTGAAAAACTTGTATCTGTCCCACAATCAGCAAACTGGCCGCATTCCGACAGAAATTGGATTTCTCACTGGGTTGCATAACTTGGGCCTGAACTACAATTTGCTTACAAACAGTGCTCCTTCCGAGATTGGGCTGTTGACGGCATTGGAGACACTGTGGTTGTCTGGCATCGAGCTCACCAATAGCCTTCCAACAGAAATTGGATTGTTGACTTCTTTGAGTTTGTTGTACTTGCGCAACAACCAATTATCAGGCAGTGTACCCAGCAATATATGTTCTAACACGAGATTAGAGTGGATATATGTTGACTGTGTCCCCGATCCCTTTCCGGTGGAATGCACCTGCGATGAGTGTCAGTGCGGCTAGCTACGGTAGTGGACAGGCTGGTGCGCAAAAGGCATCATCCATTGCAAACAGAAGCCTTATTTTCCATGCAGCCATGGTACAGCGTACTTGCGTTCATCAAACCAGTCAATGCAGTTTGAATCGAATCGTTCCAGAGATGGGGCACCTCGTAGAGTTCTAACGGGAGAGAGTCGAGTCAGACATCAAATCAGATACCATGATTTTCGTACGGCACCCCTGCTTCCCGAGCATAGCCAAATGCTGTGTTCAGTACACTTGGGAGTAAATCGAATCCAATGGTCTCTGAGCGGATCTACCACAGCATGTCACTGTGGCCCGGACATTACACCGTGTTGAATGCATTCACCCAAGCAAAATTGTGTAATTTCTGATTCAGCCAACTCCATGCCCTGAGGACGTCAAAGATCCTTGTGCTCGTCCAACTAGCTGGTGTGCACAGGCCAGGCTTCCTGTGCAAAGGGTCCAACAATTTGAAAGCTTTAGTTTATTAGGTTTGCACACACATATGACATATCTTTATGTTGTTACTCAAGTGTTTTGCTTATTTTAAGACCCAGAGCAAAAAGCCAAGCAAACGGCAACTTTCACACACCATGGCACCCCTTGGATACAGCCTCCCACGAGTCAGTCCAATATTTATACACAGCTTTTGGCTGGCTTACAAACTGAAGGAGGAGAGACCAACGACTGTATCGTACACTGTACTGGTATGTAGCGGTACTGTACTGCTGCCTGTCCGTTTGGACGCTCCATGTCCGTTTCGACGCCTCATGTCCGTTTCGGCGCGATCTGTTCGTTTCGGCGCGATCTGATGTTCGTTTCGGCGCGATCTGTTCGTTTCGGCGCGATCTGTTCGTTTCGCGCTGTCGTTTCTGTTCGTTTCGGCGCGATCTGATGTTCGTTTCGGCGCGATCTGATGTTCGTTTCGGCGCGATCTGTTCGTTTCGGCGCTCCATCTGAAGGCTTGGCCTGTTGCTCGGGTACATGTAGCTAGCTAGCTAGGACCAACAAATATCCACCCTACTATTCCCCACTGCAAAGCAACCTCACCCGAAAATGATTGGCAGAGTCTCTTCTAGAGTCGCCAGGAATGGGATCCATGAAAGCTCAAGAGGTCGCCAAGCAGCCACCATCGCCACGGTTCCATGGATGTCACTACCTTTCTCGGCCCCTTCATCCCCGTCCAGTTGCTTGCTCCAATCTCCAACATCAAGTTTATCAGCAGTTCCAAGGAGGTCATTTTCTTCGTTGCCTCCTGAGATAAGATTTTCTCCTCAGTACACGGTTCATGGTGAAAACTGCATGCTCAGCATGAAGGCCATGATGCCAGCATTCCGACTAAAAAGTAATTTTCTCACAATCGAGCCTGGCAAGCGAGGCCGAATCCTTTTGGAGTGGATACCACGTAATGCCGACGGAAGATACGCTTTTGACAACACCATACGCTTTGCCTTGTCGGTGGAAGAATGTGGTTTGGTGCTGGATCAACTGGGAAAGAATCATAATATCCTTTTGACGCGCCGAGTGCCACCGTCCGAAGAATCCCCCATGGAAGATGTACCCGACAAAGTGTTGCAAATCATTGCTGGCCAAGGTGGTATGGCTAATTTCAAGGTGGATTTTGAACTTGGTGGTGTTGGTGGACATTCGGCAGCAGCTCATGGAAATCCAAATATTATCGGACCATTGGAGGTTATTGTGCAAGCAGGAGAGCTTCAAGTGATTTTGGCATTGCTACGGGATTCCATTCCAAAGCTAGCCGGATGGAGCACTTCTATGGACCATGGCTTAGAAGCAGCTGTCCGATATGCTGTTCAGCAAGGTGGTACCGGTAATGCAAGGTGGTAGCGGAAGGTGGTAGCGGAAAGCGACAATCCAATCATGGTGGGCGGCGATTTACATCTAAATACACCTTTTTGAGCTCAATCACTATGACATTGTTCTTTGGTTGTTACACAAAACCAATGTCGAAGAGGTACATAGCGAAATGCAACAACTGGAGGAAGAAGATCCAGTGCACTCTAGTTTACAAAAATAACAACACAGAATCTCGCGGATGTCAAGACGGAGCCTCAATAAATACAGTTCTAAAAGACTGGCTAGGCTAAATCAGTCAGATGATGTGCTTCTGTGTACAAGACTTGTTTCCAACGACTATTTTATGTTGTTACTCAAGTGTTTTGCTTATTCAGACCCAGAGCAAAAAAGCCAAGCAAATCGCTACTTTCCACAAACACAAACCATATCACCCCTTGGATACAGCCTCCCATCGAGTCATTGTTCAGGCTTCTTCCACTGCGTCATCTTCGTCGCCCTTTGCCTCGGAACTTGCTTTGCGCTTGCGAGATTCACTCGGGCGGCGAGTGCGAACGTTCGACACCGTGGTCACCTCGCCCACATTCTCCTCCTCCGTCATCAGATTCGCAATGAAAGCCAAAGAATCCTTCTTGGTCATGTGGTGGAATCGGCTCACTTTGCTTTGGTGGCTGATTCCGTAGCACTGGTCTGCTACTGCCACCAACTCTGGACGGAAAGTACTCACAATGAACTGGGTCGGGTTTTCGGCACTGTTGGCTTGCTTCTGGATCAGATTTGCCACGGAAGCACGGTAAGCCGAATCGAGAGCTTGATCCTGCGATGGTTGGTAGAAAGGGGAATGTGAGCACATCGCAACCCATCACTTGGAACGCAGCACCCAAAGCACAGCAGCAACTTACCAATTCGTCAAAGATGTAAAAGGGGGCGGGATCACATCGTTGGATCGAAAAAATAAGGGCGAGGGCCACAAGCGCCTTCTGCCCTCCCGAAAGCTGGGACATCATGAAGTTCTCGCCGACAGGAGAGAAACGGACCTTGACGCCCACACCGCGGTACAGGCTGACATCAGGATTCTTCGGATCGTACCCTGTCTTCTTGCCCGGGCTGGAAGGGTCGCCATCTTCTCCGTCGCTCTCTTCGGCCTCTTCTCCCAGGTTGGTTCGCATGACCAGCTCTCCCTGTCCGAGAGGCACCAGTTCTTTGAAGACGTCCTTGAAGTGGGCACTGACACCGCGAAAAGTCCGATTGATGGCCTCGTCCTTTTGCCGATCCAAGCTCTCAACCAGTTCTGTCACCTTTTCAGCATTTCGGTCGAGCTCATCCTTGCGCTTCAAGAGCTCGTCCCGCTTTTCGCTGAAGCTAACGTACTGATCATAAGCTTTCTTGTTGACGTGGGAGTACTTCTTGAGCTTTTTGTTGACCCCTTCCAGCTGTTTCATGAGATCCGAGATGGACTTGTTGGCGAATTCTTGACGCTCTGCCTGTGGAGGAAGGGCTCCTAGCTCCTGGATCTTGGTTGCATAAGTTTCGCGCTTGGAGACGCACATGGTACGCTATTGTTTGGGAGGGAAAAGGAAGATGGGATGGACAGGATGTGAGCAACGGTGGCCTTGCATATATAACAGCCAGAACGAAACCGAATACTGTATTATCAGCACTTACCTTGTTCAACATGCGATCAGCTTCGTCTTGCGCTGTCTCGAGGGACTTTTTGTTGGCAGCGTCGTGACTCTTGAGACGTTCCAGCTCGTTCTTGCTTTGCACCATTTCAGCGCGGACATTGTCCACCACTTGACGTGCCTCAGTGATGCGCTCTTCCACGCCATTCATGACACGGGTTGCGGAATCCAACTCGCGCCGCTTTTCTTGCAGCTGATCGTTCTGTTGGGCAATCTTGGCGGCAAAGGTGGACCGATCAGCAAAACCATCGTCGTCGTCATCATCATCGTCGTTTTCTTGCGTGGCGAGTCCCTGCAGTTCCCGTTGACGAATGAGCAAGTTGTCTTCCAAAAGACTCTGCAATCGCTGGCGCTGGACACCAAACCGAGAAACCACGTCGGTTTGCTTCTCGACGTCCACCTTGAGCTTCTTTTCCTCCTTCTTGAGAGCCACCAAGAGCTGCTTCTCTTCGTCGGACAATGTGGACGTGAGCTCCGTCTTCATTTCATCCTGTAGACGACCAATATCGGCATCCAATCCCGAGACTTCCAGTTCCAACGGCGAAATCTTGCCCTGTGCCTTTTCTTCCTGCTTCTTGCTTCGATCAATCCACTTGCGCTTCTTGTCGGCGTCTCGTTCCAAATCTTTGATTTGTCGCTGCATTTCGTTGTTCTTGGCTTCCAACCGTTCCATCTCCTGCATGACATTGGCCGATTGTTGATCAATTTTCTGAGACGCCTCCCGGCTGGCATTGAATTCCCGTTCGGCCTTGCGGAACGCTTCCGTGGTTTCCTTCTTGGCGTAATGCGCCCGGAGCCGGCTCTTGTTGGCATCGTGATATCCCCCCGTCAAGGCTCCCTTGCGCCCCGCCAAGTCTCCATCCAACGTAATGGCATCCATTTGCAACTTGGCACTCCACTCGGATGCCGAATCAATGTCGCGTGCAATAATCTTTTGGTTAAAGACATGTTCAATGGCTCTCTTGACAGCGGGATCAAAAGTGACGCACAAGTCCAGCAACGCCGTGATTTGTCCATTGTTCGGAATGTTGTTTCCACGGTCGACCCGCAGTCGATTGAGTGGCAAAAACGTGACGCGTCCCAGCTTTCCATCTTCCAGCCGTTTCATGAGGCGCGCCGCCGTGCCGTCATTGTCGACAATGACGTGAAAGAGACTGTTCTGCGCAGCCACTTCGACGGCCGTCTGGTACTTTGGGTCGGTCAATGTAAAGTTATCCATGAGCATTCCAAAGTATTGGTTGCGCGTGAGCCCTTCTTGTCGCACAATGCGTTCCAAAGCTTCCAATCCCAACGCCGTCGCCCGCGGCATGACCTTTTGCGCTTCTGCCACCCGGCGCTGATGATTTTCCTTGGTCTCTCGCATTTGCTCCTGCAATTGATCCGTCTGTCGCCACTGTTCTTGTCGCTTTTCTTGTGCTTGCAATCGCTGTAGCTTCTTGTCATCGAGTGTCTTGTGAAATGTCTGTTGCTGTTCCTTCTTGGTGGCAATTTGTTGCTTCAGGGTCTCGAGTGCATTGGTTTCCGTCACGCAGGAACGACGCAGATTGGCCACCGTCTCGCGGCAAGTCTGGAGTGACGATTCCTTTTCGGCCTTGGTGTCGAGCAACTCTTGAATATTGGCTTCGAGATAGGCGTCGCGTTCTTGTTTGGTTTGGAAATGGGATCCCCGTCCCTGTTTGGCAATGAGGGCTTCCATTTGGTGTCGTTTCTGGCTCTTGTCGTGTGTCATTTGCTGCAATTGTTGCGCGGCCTTTTCGTAGTTGGGCTGTATTTCTTGTGTGAGTTGTGCCTGAGCCTTGGCAATTTCCGCTTGGACCGTGACGAGTTCCTGTTGATTGGACGCCTGTTGGGATTGTGCCGATTGAATGCTGTCTTGCAATTCCTCACATTCCAATTTGAGGGATGTGTATTGCTGTACGGCGACCGTCTTGTCGGCTTCGAGTGCCTTGAGTGTGTTGCGGTGTCGTTTGAGGGCATTCGATTTGGTGGTCATGACGGCCTCGACGTTGCGAATAGCATCTTGGGTCTGCTTGAGTTGTTCGTGGAGCGTGCGAACGGCAGAAGCATGCTGGACGCGTTCGTTTTCGAGTGAATCGAGACTCTTGCGTGCCTTGCGGAGTTCCTTGTCATAGAGAGTATACTCAATGGCGCGTCGCTGTCGATCCAATTGTTGGTAGCGCGACAATTCGTCCTTTTCGCCGTGTAGTTCCGTCAAGCGCTGTTCAATTTCTTGTAGAATGTTAGTGATTTTGTCAATGGATGCGATATTTTCCTCCATTTTGGTGAGGGACTCTTGTTTCTTTTCATCATAGACGGTCGTTCCAGCGACTTGTTTGAGCAATGACAATCGCTCATTGTCGCGCATGGTGCAAATGTCTTGAATTTTGCCTTGCTGGATCATAAAGTAGGGATTACTCTTGGAGAATCCGGCGCCTTCGAGGAGCGACGAGATTTCCTGTTTGGTGGCGCGTTTGCGCTGGAGAAAGAATTCGTCCTTTTTGGGTCCAATGGTGCGACGCAGGACGACTTCATCGGAGGGTTCTTGAATGAAGCGATGATCCGAATTGTCAAACACCACTTCCACAAACGCATTCACCGCCGCAGAGCCCGCTCCTTCGTGGAGAAGGGCTTGTCGTTCTTCCTGTATAATAATAAAAGTTGTGAAAAAATTAGAGAAAATTCATCCGTAAGATCACACAAAAATCCCATCGTTCACCACCTCCTTATTTATTTGTAGCATGATCTAATGACTTACCTGCCGCAGACTGTAAAATCGAGGCGCCAAGAGGACGAATTGAACCGCATCAAAGAGATTGGATTTTCCGCTACCATTGCGACCCACCACACTGTTCGTTCCAGGAGAGAAAGGATGGATCTCCGGTTGTTGCGAGAACGAACGAAAATTGAAAATGGTGATTTGCTTGATGTGCATGATGCTCAATGGAGGAGGGTAAGATGGATAATGAGCAAGTATTGATTGTTGTTGTTGACTTGTTGAGCCTGGTAATACTACTAGTAGGATAGTGCTCTTGTCTCTGGCTACCGTTCTTGCTGATGCTATCTGCTACTAGCCAGTGTCCTTCGGCTTGTCGAGAAGTCAAGTCTAAAGGTGAGGGTTGTTGCAGCTGATGGCTTCTGGTTTTAAAATGAGGCAATGACAAGGCTGCCTTGCCGCTTCTCTCTCGGAACCCAAAAGTGGCGGCAAAATCTTGCCTCTTCCTCAAACTTGCTTCCGACAATCCATTCAAAAGGTTGCGGGAGGTGACAACGGGGGTCAAATTGTAATAAGTGACTTTGATATTTTTAGGGGGGTTTCTAAAGCAGAAGGAAGTGATGTCTATTTGGTCAGGGGCCTGGCTTGGCAAAGAGAGGCAGCATTTGGGCCAAGCTTGCTAGCTAGCTAGTGGGTTCCGTGGGATCAAGGGGGGCAAATAGTGGAGACATGGCCTGGCAAGTGGTTTGATTTAGCTCTATGTCGGGTGGCATCCCCAATGCTGTGTTGACAGTCATTGATGACAAGTACCCTATCACCCATAGGAAGGTCAGCCCTAAGCTGGGTGTCTTCAATATATTGAGCTTGGAAAGGGAGGGCAGATTAAGCTTCAATCCTTCAAGAACCTGGTCAGTGGCAGCCAGGGTTAATTGGGAGAATTTGGCAGTGGCAACTGGCTTTCCCACAATGGAACCATCATGACCGACTTTGGAAAGGAATGGCAGGTTCTTGAAACTGAGCCCAAGTTCTGCCAGACAAGCCAGTTCCCCCAGCACCCAGTGCAATGCACCATGCCCCATGTTGAGAAGTGGGACATCCACACCATGGAGCATCCATTGGTAGGGATGCTGCAGAGAAGGCCTGGCCTGTGAACACTGGGGAGACTTGATGGACCAGTGTGTGTTTGGTGTCATTGCTACTACTCATGATTTGGAGCTTGCTGAAGCTGGTGCTTTCTAATAGAATTGAAGCAAGAAGACTAGCTAGTTTGAACCTGTCAGAGAACATCTACTGTATTGCTGGGAAAAGTGTGGCCCTCTGTCTATCCTCTGCCACCCTTTGAAGAACCTCACTTAACTTGGCGAAAGCGACTCGTTCCAATAGACGGTTTTGCTTTTCTGTGCCAAAGAATGTACAGACAAAACAGGTCTACAGCCACCGGTGCGTATCGTGATTCTATGCTGTCGCAGCAGTGGGATCAGCAGTTTCCAAAAGGCTCCTTGCTTTCTCTTCTCCAACGGAAGCTACAAAGGCAGACAGCCATGCCGTAGTGGCGTCGTTCTCCAATATCTCGTCCTTTAATTCCACGGTTTTCAGTTTGCCAGCATGCGGCAGAGTGTGAGGGTATCGATTGACCACAAACAAGCTTTGCCTCTCGCTCAGTCGGAGACTTCCCTTGCAAATGTCGCCGGTTATTGGACGATTGATGGATGCGCTCTTTGTGACTTCGTCGATATTGATTTGACGAAGGTCGACCATGCTCTTGCCCGGCTTTCCCTCGTCATCAAAGTATCTCCAACATAGAGTCTGAAAGTGAGACGCATTAAAGCCAGCGACGACAAGTTCTGGTGAAGGGGGTGGTTTGGTGCCAAATGTTTTCCTTGCCATTGTGATACAAGGGTTGTCGATCAAAGGCTGTCCAGTATGGCGAATCACCATGCCTTCTTGCCCCAAGAGCTTCGAGACAGACCCAGGCTCTTCATTTGTCGGAAGTTTAATCTTGGCATAGTTTCCAATGTACTGTTGCGGCGACAAGTTGTCTTCTGGGTCACGTACTCGGTTGTTAATCATCGTGTACTCGTTGACACCAGTCACAGTCGTCCAGCCACGCCCCTCTCGGTGAAGTTTTCGAAGACAGTGCTTTGTGAATTGCTGCTGGCGGTCCTTTCTGAGCCAGTCCTCATTATCTCTAGTTGGAAGTCCCTTGGGATAAATATCGACTTCATCCCACAGCGTTATTTCCATTGTAGTAGACCATCGGTCAAGAATCGCTTTGGGAGACGTCCTCGAACCAGGCTCATTCAAAATAATCAGACGCCGTAGCGGCAGTGTATGTGCGTGAAATGCCAACCACTCGGGAAGGAAAAGGTTGTCGTCATTGATTATCAAACACGCGGAAAAGGGACCGGCATCGTTGCTTCCTTGAGCGCCACCTGGTGACAGCGATGCGGATTCTGCTTGTTGCTTACTTGCCGGTTCGCCACCTGGCCCCTGTACACTTCTCGATTGCTGAGATGAGTCATTAGGTGATATCCCAGCAGCACGATGAGGATCTCCAACGTCCTTCAACAACCTCTCGGCCTCTTGTGCGCCAACAGTCTCAACAAACCCCGGAAGCCATTCCAAAATCGTTTCCGATTCAGTGTTCTTCTTTATCTTTTTGAGGTTTTTAAACCGTTCCGTCCGATATTCCGTAGCGTTCGTGTGGTTGCCACGAGAGTCATGGACACGAAAAAGCATCTGTTCTAGGTTCCCGGGGTAATGGTTCACCACAAAAGGACTCTTGTGCTCATTCATGAAGATTGGTCCCTTGCAGATGGGTCCCTCTTTTTCAAAGGGACGGTGCACGCTGGGAGAGTGGGGGATATCTTTAAGCCGTATTTTCTTCAAATTGACGAGCGTCTTGCCTGGCTTTCCTTCGTCCAGCCAATACCTCCAGGCAAAGGTTTGGAACTGGGCATTCTTGTAGCCTGCAACTGGATTGGCACTCGCTCCCTTCAGTGTCCTGGTACCAAACGTCTTGGTTGCGAAGGAAAATGTCAGCAACAAGTCGTCGGATCACACGTTACAGAAACATTTCAAAGCAGTGACTAAGAGCTGGATCCCGCCACAACACGTACCTTCCGGGCCATTGTGATGCAAGGGTTATCTACCAGGTTCATCTGGGTGAGCGGAATAACGTAGTCTGGATTTCGTAGGAACTTGAGAATGGACCCTGGTTCTCGTTGCGTTGGTATCTCCAGAGACTTCCCAATACTCTTTTCAGGCGACAATTTGTCCTTTGGATTACGAACTCTGTCACCAATGTACGTGTACTCATCGGTGTCGGTGAGAACTGCGGAAGTAAGCAAAACGATTAGTACCGGTACGATGGGGGTCGAATTGAAGCCCACAGGAATAGAAAATCAGCACAGTAAAAAATAATATACTTACCAATCCATTCACGACCCTCTTTGAAGAGTGTTTGCATGCACTTCTTCACAAACGTTCGTTGTCGAGTCCGGTGTTGACCTACTCTGGTTTGGACCTTATGCTTGCTTGGAGGTGGAGGAATACCATATGGAAAGACATCCTTTTCAAACCATTGCGTGATTTCAATGCGGTCCTTCCAGCGTTCCAATATTGGAGCCGGTGAAGTAGCAGAATGTGGATCCGCCAACACAATCAGTCTTCGCAATGGCTGGTGCGTTGAAAGCAAAGATGCAAGAGATTAGTGAGGAGAAGCATTCTGGAAAATCCTGTCACGAAACAAACATCAAACAAGACGCAACTTACCATGACATGATAGTGATATGCTAAATATTCAATCAAGAAGTGATTGTCATCCATGATTTGGAGACAAGCGCCAAAGGATTCTGGGTCATCCTTGGATACAATGGTCGACGAGGAATGGTTTGTCATGGGCTGGGTTGTTGTTTTTGTTGCCACCGCCGTCTGCTTGACCTCTGACGGGTCGCCGGAAATTGTCGATTCTGGAATTTCCAAGTCACCCGACTCTTCTGCAGGAGCATCTTCCTCGGTTTCATTCGCGATAGCCTCCGATTCTTCTCCAGCTTCCTCGGTATCTTCTTCTGTTGTACCGTCTTCTTCGGCTTCTCCAGAACCTTCTTCCTCGGCATCTTCTGTTGTACCGTCCTCCTCCTCGGTATCTTCTGCTGTACCATCTTCCTCGGCTTGCTCAGCATCCTCTTCCTCGGCATCTTCCGTGGTATCCTCTTCCTCGGTATCTTCTGCTGCCTCCTCAGTTCCTGTCGTTTCGTCTTTTGATTTTGGAGCCACCACCGACGACTCGTCGTTGTCGTCCAGACCACTGGCCTCTTTGGGTTGTCCCACATGCTGCAACAATCGTTGGGCTTCTGGTTCTCCCACGGACTGTATAAATCCCGACAACCACTGTCGAACATTGTCACTTTCTTTCACATTGGAATGCTTTTGGTAATCCTTGAATCGTTTGATGCGATAGGCTGTGACATTGTCATCGGCCCCACGCGCATCGTCGGTCCGAAATAGCATTTGTTCCAGCGTTCCCGGATAGTGATTGGCGACAATGACACTCAACTCTTCTGGCAACCACATTTTGCCCTGGCACACGGCATCGTCGAGGGGTCGATGAATGCTGGGGGCGGATCCCATGACACTATTGTGTTTGCCCAGATCGTCCAACCGTTTCAGGTTGAGAATGGATTTGCCGGGTTTTCGAACATTGCCGTATTTCCGCCATCGCAGGGTTTGAAAGTGATAGGGATCAAATTTTCCGTGCAATGGCTGCAGATTCTTTTGTTCCTTGGTGCCAAAGACTTTGCGGGCAATGGTGAGACAGGAAATGTTCCACAAATGCTGTTGTGTGTGCGGATACATGATATCCTTGTTTTGGATAAATTGCAATACCGATCCGGATAACGCCGGGGATGGAAGGGTGACATTCTTGGAGGGGGCATATTTAACGGGCGACAAGGGATCGCGTGGATTGCGGACCCGATCATTAATGGTAATGTATTCGTCAGTATCCGTCAAAAAGAGCCATTCGCGTCCTTCTTTTTGGAGTGCCAGGATGCATCGACGGACAAATTGTCGTTGGCGTTGTCGATGACGGAGTATAATGGTGGGAGGACGTGGTTTTGAGTACCCTTTTGGATAGACGTATTTTAATTCGTCGTCCCAAATGGTAATGTTGATGCGATCCTTCCATCGGTGTAGAATGTGTGCTGGACTGGTTTTAGAGTTGGGGTCGGGAAAGACAATCAAGCGACGGAGGGGCATGACATGGTAGTGATATGCCAGCCATTCCACTAGAAAGTGATTGTCGTCCATAATCTGCAAACAGCCAGCAAAAGAGTTGGGGTCTTCTACGGAGGGAATGGACACTGCTGAACCACCACTTCTTGGGGGTATATTGTTGTTGTTGTGTTCTTCTTTTTCTTCTTTCATTGTTGGAGTATTCGATGCTTCACTGCTGCCACCACCAAGAGCGAGCAAACTGCCGATACTATCCAAGGACAACGACGACGACGACACAGCGGTCTCATTATTCTGACTGGAATTTCGGCTGGCCATTCCCCAGACCATGGGTTCTTGGTCGACCCATTCTTGTACCACAGTCGAACTCTTGGTGATGATACGGATATTCATCGGTAATACCATGAGTGCAAAAAAGCACAGGAACCGTCGAAACGTATTCGAAAAAAACATGATTGGTGGTTGCTACCGTATTGTTTCTTGAGGGGTATCTCGACTTGACTTGACGGATGATATTCTCTTCTTCCTTAAGATTCGCGCCAGAACCTCAGCCTCTATTAGTTGACACAGAATAGCTATAATATCAGAACGTAATGATTGGCCCAATGGATCCTGGCAACAATCAGATAGCAACAATCGCTACAATCAAAGCAAAAATGCGATGATCAACGTCCCCAAGCGAATAACGCGGACCAAAGCCGCGATCAAAATGCTTACGTGATTGATGCGCTTGCACGTACCAAAAATAGAAAAGATTTAATAATAAGATGGAATTCCATTACTCCAGGAGTACCGTACATAAGTACCTTAGTAAAAGACAGAGTCCCATGGTGCCATGTTTCAATGTACAGCCCAAGACTGCACAGCTGGCTACCGTAAAAGACCGCCCCAGTCCAGGCCTAAATACTTTGGGCATGGCAGGCTCTTGCCACCAGGTCCACAAAAGAGTGGAGCTTCGTCACTGTTTTGGTCGGTAAGGGAAGTGACCGAAGATAGATAGTGTGATAGTGTGGCAAGCCAAAGATAACAAGATAAACACTGTACGCTAGCAAAGGCTCCCCTTTCATTATTTATTTGTGGCCAAACTACTCAGGTAAGCTTACAGCTAGTAAGTAGTCTTGTAGACTTTTGATTACCGAGTAGTCTAAGTTGTTACATCCCGGTGAGGCGTCATAGATAGATAGAGGAGTGAGTGAGTGAGTGAGTGAGTGACAGTCGAGTCGAGTCGAGTCGAGTCTGATGGTGAATAGGCTCAAACGGGGGGCTACGAGGGCCAATCGGGGAGAAGAGAGGAATCCCAGCGATGTCATCGAAAGCACAAAGACAAGAAGAAATGTCTGTATCGTCGTCGTAGGTTTAGCCTTGACGACGATAGCCATCTTTCGAATGACCCGAAACCTCAAAATTCTACCATCAACTCTGGTGCAAGTCCCAAAAACGAGTCACTCGAGTCCGGATGGTGGCGGCAGCAATAGCAATAAGAAGATTCCCATCAAGCTACCTGACTTTGGGCCCTACCAACCGGCCCCTGTGGAAACATATGTGTTGGAGCACGTCAAAGAACTGAAACTGGATGTCCCCATGCCTGAGTGGACACCATCCTGTGACGTCTACACAGATTCTCAATCCACTCCCTATCATGCTCAACTGCAGGACTTTATTGTAGAATTGGAACACTACTCCAAACTGGTCAAGGATTTTCAGATTCCCATCAAGGACCTGAGAAGGAACATTACGGAGTTTGATAATGGGATCTGTGATTTGGTGCAGCTACATCCGGGTGGGATGCAGGCACTATTCAGCAGGAGTCGACAACTACTGTCACTGTCCTCATCCGGCTGGGTGGAGCCACTCTTGCCCCCAATGCGCCACGCCCAGTACTGCTTTGACACAAGTCGCGAGAATCTGATGCGAATTGACTACATCCTTCATGACTTTCATGCACTTTGCCGGAAACTAAAGCCTCATAGCCGAACTATCCTGGTCGATATGGGGGCATCACTCCGATACTGGGGCAAATCCCCAGTCCTGGACCTGATCCAGCTGTATTCAAAGTTTGGCTTTCATTTTGATCACATTTATGGATATGAGTATGAAAAGCATGACCCAGATCAAGTGTTCAATGATGTGCCACAAAATCTGGATGCCTCCTATCACTGGATCAACGTGGGAGTTGTCTCCGACACACAGAGTCGTCGCAATCCCTTCAAACTGTTGCAGGAAAACTACTCACCGGATGATTTGATCATTGTCAAGTTGGATGTGGATACACCGGCACTGGAGAGAGAGTTGGCACAACAATTATTGGACAATCCAAAGCTGAGCAAATTGATTGATCACTTTTATTTTGAGCATCACGTCAACCAAGAGGAGCTCAAGCGATACTGGGGACGAAGTGCTGGTATCAGTGAAAGTGTCGCAGATTCCTTGAGATTTTTTCATGAAGTTCGGAAAAAGGGTATCCCTGCTCATTTTTGGGTCTAACAGTTAGTCGTCGAGAGCGGATGGGTGCAATCTTCTAAACGGACTCGGTGCCCGCGAAATCTCCGGACATCAGGTTGGTACCCGCGAAATCTCCCACATCGGACATTGAGTTTGGCTCTATTGATACAGGCGCAGACAGGTCGTCCCGGAAAAGGGAGCTTCGACAGTGAGGAACCATGGAAGCTTTTATAAAATTCAAACACTGATACTGGCTAAGTGCAGATAGTTCGATCGTTTGCCGGACGAAGGGACTACAGGGCAAAGGAATGACAGCAAGATGCATTCCTGATTCAATACGTCGTTTTGGCATTTTAAATGGAAACTCTGTGGGGGTACAGGACTCAAAATGGGCTCCGCGAAGATAAATACAAAGTTTAGCCGAGCCGTATCTAGTCATCTCAGCTCTTCGATTCTACCGGCACCGGTACTATTAACGTGCAATAGTACCGGTAGTCCTCGTACCGGTACGGTAGCGACTGAACACCTCCACAGATCGAACCGACCGGCAGCAGAGACCCACTACACTATACTGTCGTCCCTTGGTATCATTTCACGACAAACCCGCAGGAACAGGCCACACGAGTAGTATCGTTCGGAAGCCCTTAATCGCTCGAGATTCATTGATGACCAGTTGCTGTTGTTACGATTCTTCCAAAGTACAAACCCTATCCGAATCGACGCTTCGATTCGGTACCAGTACTGAGTATTGTTTTTCTGCCGCTTTTCGCGACACATGGCGGTACCGCATGGCTGCAGGAAGGCGCCAAGAACATAACTGCATCTAGCTACGGTGTACGGTGGAGCCAGCACCGTGAACTCTTTGGTGCAAGAGCCGTTTATTACGGTGCACGGACAATCTCAGCGCGGAAATCATTTCCCACACGCGCTCCAGTCACATATTTTGCTGTGTGATTGAAGCCCAACCGTTTGCACCGTCATTTTTTCTTCTGTCAATGTTTCCTTCATCTGACCGTTGAGACTTGTTGAACTCTTGTTGCGAAATATGTGGCTCTTGCAAGCAAGAGCTCACCAAAATTGTTTTGGTATGCCAAAGCACCTCTGTTGGTGCGAGTGGACAAAGTTCAGAAACCGCCAAGACAGACCCCGTCCCCTTGCTGTCTGTTGCCTGGCTTCTCACACAGCACATTCGACGGAAACGCTTGTAGATAGCTTGTAGTTCAGTAGAACAGGAACAACAATAGAAATGAAGTCGAGACTGAGACCGATGAAATGGTTTGGGCGTCTGGCTCTTATCGCCACGGCATTCTCCCCTGTAGCTATTATAGCCGATGATGCGGCCGGAAAAGCTCTGTTGAGGAGGAAGCGAATCACAACGGAGATCAAACCATCAGAAATGGCAACACAATCACACGCACAGCCCGATAATGTAGCAGACTTGTGGGAGCAAGAAGCAGCTCAAGCGGAGATGGACGCTGAGCGCATTCTTCAAGGATATTTTTCCATGAGCATTACAGACGCTCCAGGGCCTCCAACTCCTCCCGGTCCTCCAACAAATCCCGGTGCTCCAGTTGCGCCAACCCCTGCACCCACAGATGGCCCTCCCATGTTTTGCTTGGAAGGAACCACAAGAGAAGACTATTTATTGGATTTGTTGTCTCCAATTACGGATAGAACGCTGCTTCGAGACCCAACCACGCCGCAAGGAATGTCTTTCAACTGGTTGGTAAACATGGATCCACTCTTACAACCCGATCCATGCAACTACCCCACAACAGAGCAGAGGTATGGTCTTGCAACTTTGTTCTATTCAACAACTGGAATGAGCTGGACAAACAGTTCTGGCTGGCTTGGAAGCGAGAGCGAGTGTACTTGGGCTGGTGTCGTTTGTGGAGACTCGACACCCGCGTCGCGAAAGCTACAAGCATCCCCAGGCAGGGTGTATAAATTGAATCTTCGTAAGTTTGATGGGGCGTGTCATCCTTTTTTGCTCTCGAACCATCTCACAGTTTTACGCATGCCCTGCTGTTAGCTTTCAACAATCTTGCCGGCACCATTCCTGAAGAGATTGTTACCCTGTACGAACTCGAAAACTTGAACATCTTTGCCAACTCGATCAACTCGACGCTTCCGGATAGTCTAGGAACTTTGACAAGGCTGATTTTCCTCGACGCCGAGAGAAACTTGCTCAGCGGTCAGCTGATTCCCAACAGTTTGCTTCAGCTGGGAAACCTTCAGGCTCTTCGCTTGTCACGAAACTCGTTTACTGGGAGTATTCCGCCACAAATTGGCCAGTGGACAGACTTGGAACAATTCTGGATTAGCAACAACCGCATCTCTGGAACCCTGCCTCCTGAGTTCGGCCTCCTAACCAACCTCAAGACAACATTCCTTTACGACAATCGATTTGTTGGCCGAATCCCTTCGGAGCTTGGTTTGCTTACGGAGTTATCCATTATTCGTCTTGATGGCAACATGGTCGAAAATAGGATCCCAGAGCAGTTTTACCAGCTGACAAATTTGGAAGATCTTCGGCTTGATGGCAACTACTTGTCGGGCTCCCTGTCACCGGCTATTGGACAACTGACACGCCTGAATGACCTTCGATTGAACGAGAACTTGCTCACCGGCACCTTGCCAAATGAACTATCTCTACTTACCGACTTGAAGAACTTGATTCTCTTTGACAACTACTTGAACGAAAGTCTTCCAGACGTGTTCGGTGGCTACGTCCAGATGGAGCAGCTGGATCTCTCACTGAACTTTTTGACCGGGAACATTCCAGAGTCTATCTTTGCCATCCCATCCGTCAAGTTTGTATATCTATCCAACAACTCGTTCATTGGTCCCATACCCTCAAATTTCCAAGACCCTCCATTGCTGCGTGACTTGTATTTGGATGGGAATTATCTGACCGGAACAATCCCACCAGTGGAACCAGGACGTCTTCAAGAGCTCAATGAGATTCTTTTCAACTACAATCTCTTTTCTGGGGCCATGCCACAAAGCTTTTGCGACCTTCGATTGGACGCAGTACTCGATGACTTGTTTGCAGATTGCGGTGGGGAAACTCCCAAACTTCAATGCTCTTACCCAGACTGCTGCAATCGTTGTTTCACGGGAGATCGCCCCCCTCGACGACGAGCTAGGCAGATACGGTCATAATGATGCTGGAGGAGGACTGGCCTTTGGCTTCGCTCATGAGCATCCTCTGTAGGACGGTAGTCGCTCTTTTCCTCCCCTCCTGTTGCTTCAATACGATGACTGCCTACACTTGTTTTAAGATCTATCTATAACGCTTGTTTCATACGTACTGTGTCCTTGTTTCCATCCCTGATCCTCTGCTCCGAGTTGATCATCCTCAGGTGGCTGGGGCTTCACTACGATGGGTCGTCTAGGATGGAGCCCATGGGAGTGCCGTTGACTTGTTGGCCTTTGGGTATCGTATATTATCTCCTTCCTCATCAGCGCCGCTACTTTCAAGGTTTATCATAACGATTCTAAGCCGAATTCAATCCTTTCTCTTTCCAAGTTGAGAAGGAATGTGCTTGTGGGAGCGTGGATCTAGCTAGGAAACACTTCCAAGAGGCGAAGGGAAGTCAAAGCAAGCCTTGGTCTTCTAAGCCTACTACAAAATCCAGAGAATGTCACCTAGCCAAGCTCCTTGGCTTCTCCTTTCTCGGTCTGACTGTACTCTTGTTACTTCATAACTTGATTTACTAGTAGTAGTATCTGCATTCTCTACACGATTTCACCCGCAAATCATTGGCTATTTTCCTTGCAAGATCACTCATTCTTTGTTTGGAGTATCTTTTTCGTACTTCTCGTCTGCAGTCTTGCCACCCTCTTCTTCCTCTAGCTGCTTGGTGGTTGAGTCATCAGAAGTAACTGCTGCAGGGAGGTGTCCATTCACAGCCACAATCTTGGTTGGGTGAACCTTGGCAGGAGCACGAATCGTCAAGACTCCATCCGCCAAGTATGCATCCAACTTGGTCACATCCACAGCATGAGTGTTGAGTTGATACAAAGACTTTGTCATCTTGGTTGGTCCACTGGCATTGCGGCGTTCTCCTACAATGTGAAGCATGGCACTCTTCTTGTTGCATACAACTTTCAAATCGTTGGCCTTGATGCCAGGTACATCGATTTCCATATTTAGATCCTCACTACCATCTACTGCCGGAGGCGCCTGATAGGTCACTGGTAGCGTGTTGTTGCAATCATCGGTTGGTTGGTCTTCTTTTTCCTTTTTGGCAGGCACCTTGACAGTCAGGATTCCATCTTCCAAGGTTGCACTGAGATTGGGCACATCAATGACATCTTCTTCCAAGGCAAGGTGTCTTGTAATGTACTGCTGTGCTTGGCCCTGACGTTTAGCTTGAATGTGAAGAGCGCTGTCACGGAACTCCACCTTCAAGTCGGCCAGTTTGACACCTGGGAGATCGGTCGTCAAGAGGAAGTAGTCATCATCTTTCTGATGCTGGTGCAACTCAAAATCACCATGGGTTCTTGAATACCAGTGAGCCGAAGGCTTGTTGGTGTTGTTGGCCTTGCTGGTCACCTGAGATGTTGCCTCCGAATTGTCCTTCTCATTGTCAGCGTTTGTGTTGGTTTCCTCCTTGTCTGGTACCACCCAATGGTAGGCAAAAGATGGGGATGCAAAAGAGGGGCTGAGGAAAGGGTTGCTATTGAGATTGCGCAAGATGATCATGGTTACAATTGAATTGGTTTCTGTTTTGTTTTTTGTTGTTTTGTTTTTGATTGATTGATTTGTGAGAAGAAGTGAGAAGCTTTGAAGCTCTCATCAAAGTTGCAGCCAACTCGACAAGACTGAATGGAAGGAGATGGAAAGTTCTGCAGCTCTCTGTTTGCTTCGTCTTGTCTCTTCGAACTTCTTTGTCAGTCACGCGTGATGTGACCGCTCTCAAAAAGGTTAGGGTTTGTTTTCGCGCCGTAAACCACATTCAAATATCCGATCCTGCCCGCCTCGAGTTGCGTGCCCGTAAAACTGGCCTTCCCATGCCGCCACAATTTGGATCATTTGCATCCATCATCCTCCCACCATTATCATCGGATCACTACTTGCCGCAACTTCATGTGTGTTGTCTTTCACTGTGATCCACTGAGATAGTCCGATCCAAAACTTGAGTTCAAATTCGAGAGAGAGGGTGTTTTGGTTTGAAATCCATTGAGAGTGTCTTGTTACAAAAGAAATTGCATTTGAGGTAGTATCAGCAAGATAATAGCAAGACAATGATCCATTTCTCGAGTCGCCATGGCATGGCCACCATGATAATGGGCGTTGCTTTGGCCATGATCCTAGGCTGTCATTCGAGTGTTACAGCCGAAGGAACTCCTTCTCTGCGAAGAAAGCGAAATTTCATTCATATTGAAGATGATGAACCTAGAGGCCGATCTGCCAATAGAAACTTGGGTGCTTTTAGATCGGAAACTGTCGCGTGGGGACGAAGTGTTCAGACCTTGCGAAGCATTACACTGTCTCCTGCCGAAGAAGAATCCAAAAAACGACGAGAAGAAGAAGAGCAGCAGAAGCGAGATATTATGCTAGCCGAAGATGAACTGAGAGAGCTAATGGTTTTTGATTTGTTCGAGAATGCTGGAATGAGCATGAGTATGAGTATGAGCATGTCTTTTCCTCCATCGACACCTGCCCCAAAGCCTACGGATACCCCAATGACAGCCAAACCAACAGTTGCGCCAATCACTCAAGCACCTGTTCCTGACCCACCAATAGCCACGTTGATTCCTGCTACCTTACCTCCCACCCCAAATCCAAGTAAGTCGCCCACCGTTGCTCCAACCCAGCAACCGGTAATACCTCCTGTGGCGGCGCCAACTCAGCCTCCAACTCCTGTTACACTTCCCACACAAACTCCCACGGCCAACCAACCTCCCACTCAATCTCCCACCGACGATCCTCCAACTCAACGTCCTACCGCCGATCAACCTCCAACTCAACGTCCTACAACCGCTAAAACACCCACTCAATCCCCTACTGTTGATGGTGAACCGGCCCTTCCTCCACCCACAGTTGGTGCAACACCTCAGCCCACTTTGCCTGTTGTCACCGATTCACCCACGAGAACAGAAACGGATGCCCCGACCATGGGAGCCACTGAAACCACTCCAACGGTTGCACCTACAGTTGCGGAAACTCCTGCACCGACAGATGTTCCTACTATTCTGGCTACGAGCGAGCCAACCGCGTCTCCCACCATGACCACTGACGCTCCTACCAACAGAGAGACCATGGAGCCAACCGTGATTGAAGTAGTGACGGAAGAACCAACCGAAGGGCTTACCGACCCGCCTGCGGCCGACACACCCAGCCCCACTGCGTTCGCAGTGCCTACCGTGGCGCCCACATTGGACCCGGCAGCCCCTCTTCCCGGTTGTGATTCCTTGGACCGAACGGATGCCATTTTCTTTGTTCTCTTTGGTTTGACCGACCCAAATCTGTTGGATAATCCATTGACACCCTATGGACAAGCCTTTCGGTGGATTTGGTTGAGCGACCCATTGCGGTTGGATCCTTGTGAGACGGCAAAGTTCAAACAGCGTTACGCCTTGGCGCTGTTCTACTTTGCCACGGAGGGAGATGATTGGGAGAACAATGCTGGATGGCTCACGGGAGAACATGAGTGCAATTGGTTCGGTGTCATTTGCAATGAAGGAGACTTTGTGATTGAATTGGATTTAGGTAAGTCCATGACGCGCCAGATGGGCGACGGGCATGAACGCAGTGGTGGCAACCTCACTTCACAATCCCATCTCTCTGTATTTCCAGGCAACAACAACCTCGTTGGCTTCATTCCCGAAGAGACAAAGGCGTTGGTTGTGTTGGAAGTGGTGGATCTCTCGGACAACCAGTTGGACGGAGAACTACCACCCATTTTCGGCTCTCTCCCTAGCTTGAGAGAGTTGGATGTGGAGAGGAATCTGCTCCAAGGAGATCCTTTTGCAAACTTGCTTGAAGCCGCGTCTTTGGAAGCCCTCAAGATATCCAGTAACTTCCTAACCGGTACCATTCCCTCCGGTATTGCTAAGCTTACTCGTCTGACCAATTTGTGGATTGCCGAGAATCGTTTCATCGGCAACCTCCCGACAGAGATTGGGCTTCTATCTGGACTAAGTAAGTATAGGACCGCGAAGGATTCGATTCATCGGGATTGGAACTTAGCAGGACAGCTCACCACGTGCTTGCATCCTTCTTTGGCTACAATCCCCTTTAGGCACCTTCTATGCGTATGCGAACCGCATCACTGGTCCCCTGCCAACTGAGATTGGAATTGGAAGCCTACGAGAACTGCAGCTCTTTGCCAACAGGTTCACTGGAACTATTCCGGAACAACTCTTTGCCAATGAAGGCTTGGCCCTACTTCGCCTCGATATCAACAACTTTGAGGGACCCATTCCTTCCTCCATTGGCAATCTTGTTGGTCTCACAGATCTTTGGTTGAATAACAACACAATTGGGGGCACTCTACCAGCTACGCTTGCCAGATTGTCCAATCTAGGTACGGATATGAAAAAGTCTTCTATGTGTCATGCTATTTTGCTACGCGCAGTACTAATCCCTCTTCCACTGGTTCGTTCGTTCACCACAGAGACGCTCCTTTTGAACAACAACAATCTCGTGGGAACGATCAGAGACGCTTTCGAGCAGTTCACACGGTTGAACTTTACTGACTTGTCAAACAACCAAATCACCGGAAGCATTCCATCTTCACTGTTCCAAATTCCAGTTCTCACCAACCTTTACTTGAACAACAATCGCTTTTCGGGCGTAATCCCTGCAAACTACGGCAGCGCCAAGAGCCTTCGAGACTTGTACTTGTTCAGCAACCAACTCACGGGAACAGTGCCAAGCATTGGAGTTGGAGAGTTGCCGTTCCTGAACGAGTTTCTCTTGCAAGACACCCTTTTGACTGGGTCCATGCCAAGCTCCGTATGCGAATTGCGACTATCTGGCGACCTGGAAGATTTGTGGGCCGATTGTCGATCGTCTGAATTACAGTGCAACCTTCCTGACTGCTGTACAGCCTGCTTCTAATTTGAATTTGAAGAGAAGCATGACGAGTGGAAGTATGACGAGTGGCGTTGATTAGCCCCGAACAAGTTGTGTGCTGTCATTGTGTTGGACAGCTGATGTGATGTCTTGTGATCATGGATGGAAGCTGCGACATGTATTCGTGGCGCCATTTGTGATAGATTTGAAACTGTAGCATTGCATAAAGATTATATAAGCCATCAGTGGAATTGCTCTGATCTTCCCGGGCAGAATTTTTGTCCGGTGGATGCCAATTTGCTACATAAACTCACTCGTACGGTACCGTTGCTGTGAGGGTGGCAACAGCTGCCGAACCGTAGTATCTAAAATTCGAGGGATGGTTGATCGGGGCAAACCAAAGCACGTCTCATCGTCACTACACATCTTTGAGGTTCCGCACCTCACAAATTCATGCCGTCAACTACATCTCATGATTTCGTCCTTGGGAGCTAACCAACAAATCGAACTACAGGTACGAAGTCTGCCAAGAGCTACCACCGAGGTGACACCGTGGTTTGGCTTACTTACATGATGTATGCATCGGTGGCGATGCCAACACCGTTTCCTTTTGCCTCCAAGTTCAGACGTGGAAGTTCGCAACTTGTATTCCAGACGTGAAGTCGGGTGGGTTGTCTTTGGAGGGCTTTCACATTCCTCAATTACAACATCGCAACGCACAGAAACACTACTATCATACTTATCTTACAACAAAAAACACTATGGAAGAGGTCCCCAACTCCAAGCAGGACGTAAAATTGTATCGACGCTTTCCCGATGACGAGAGCAAAGAGGTAGACTTTGGGCCTGGGTACCTCAAGCTCTACAAACCTGCACACGACAACAGCAATGGACACAAGACGAGTCCAAAACTTCAGATAGTGTTTCGTAGCCACGGAACCATGAAGATCCGTGCCAACCACGTACTTTCCGACGAAGTAAGCTTGGATGTTTCCTTTGAGAACGAGTTGCGCTACGCTGCAATGCGAGATGTCGCCGACATGATGGCAACAACGGCGGTGGTCTATGGGAGGCAAACCGCGACGAAACCCCAAGATTTCCCCCTTTCCTTCGAATTTGACTCGGAAGAGGAGCGCGACAAATTTGTGATCTCGATGCAGGAACACCTTGGGCTCACAGCGCAAGAGCAGCCACCTAAAGCGAGCAAAGACGACAACGAGATCAAAGAAGAAACCGCAACCGAAGCAGGAGAAAGAGCAGGAGAAAAAGAGGGCACCACAACGAAGAGCGGAGAAGCTGGAACAGACGAGACAACACACGTTTCCAGCGACCCCGAAACAAAAGAGGAAGCTGGGGCATAGACCCGAAACTGAAGAGGGAGCCAGCCAACGAGCGGACGGGCAGCGCACAACTTGCCCTTTTGCAGGAATGCCTTCTAGCCATAGATAATAATTAGTTGCGATATTCGATCAGATTGCTTGGATCGCGTTGTCGAATCCGTATCAACCATACCGGAAGAGACATATATCACGGAAACTCACGAACAAGTAATACATCCACAAAATGTTTGGTTTTTTGCTGTTGTTACTTCTTTACTATGCATTATCAGTCTACGTCATCTACTACAGAGAAAGATTTGTGATGGTTTGCACACCGGAACCACTTCCCTGTGTGTATGATTTGTTGGTGTTGATTTGTAGACCGGCATCACTTACCGGTAAAGTTTTTGAGTTTCTCTCAGCTCGCATCGGCCAAGCAGCCAACACTCCCCAAGCTTCACGACGTGGGCGTGAATGATTTGTAGTTGGTGTTGATTTGTAGACCGGCATCACTTACCGGTAAAGTTTTTGAGATTCTCTCGGCTCGCATCGGCCAAGCAGCCAACACTCCCCAAGCTTCACGACGTGGGCGTGAATGATTTGTTGTTGGTGTTGATTTGTATACCGGCATCACTTACCGGTAAAAGTTGTTTTTGAGTTTCTCTCAGCTCGCATCAGCCAAATAGCCAACACTCCCCAAGCTTCACGACGTGGACGTGGAAACTCTTTGAAGCTCATTAGGCATCAACAGTGGTACAGGTTGGTAGTCAGATAGTCACCAGGTATTAACTTCGATGCAAGCATCTGTGGGACGTTCACGCACTCTGCAATAGAGATGTCGCTTAGCACTGGAACCACAAACCAGGCTACCCTTGCGTGTGACTTAGACTTTGAACCAACTGCACTCACCTCCACCATAATAAATTACACCCGCCAGTGTTTTAATTTGCACCCGCCAGTGTTTTCTGTCACCCCCCTCCACGAGCGACGGGGGGCCTGCAATGCAAGAAAAAGAGAAAAGTTAGTAAAAACAGAACGAATTGGAATGGAAGTGACGAACCTGAAGCATCTTGGTACCCTTGCACCGGACTCATGTGTTTCCACATTGATTTCTTCCATCGTGTGGCCTTGCGACCAAGTCGCCTTTGGTTTCCGACGTGCACCCACCAGTGACTGTCGTCTTCCTTCCATCGTGTGGCCTTGCGACCGAGTCGCCTTTGGTTTGCAACCTGCACCCACCAGTGATTGTCGCCTTCTTCCGCATCCTTCCATCGTGTGGCCTTGCGACCGAGTCGCCTTTGGTTTTCGTCGTGCACCCACCAGTGATTGTCGCCTTCATCCACATCCACACCAAAACCATCGCATGGCATCGGTTCTTCCTCCGCGACAAGTGCATGCTCTTTTCCATCGTCTTCCACCATTGTACTCAGCTTCCATCGTGTGGCCTTGCGACCCAGTCGCCTTTCGTTTGCGTCGTGCACCCACCAGTCATTGTCGCTTTCCTCCACATCCACCAGAATACCATCGCATGGCATCGGTTCTTCCTTGACAACAAGTGCATGCTCTTGTCCGACTGCATCGTCTTCCACCGCATCGTCGTCAACATGCATATTGTCGTCTTCCTCCACTTCCCAAATTGTCTCGAGCTGATCGGGCCGAGTCATTTCCTCCATTGGCGCCTCTTCTTCAGTCTCGCCGCGCGCCTTGAGATACTCGACAGCATCATCAAACAACTGCAGATCCTTTGCGTCCACCACGAGTTCCTCCAACACGTAGTCCTGTCCATGCTCCTCAATGGCATTTACAAACTCCATCTTGGCAAAGGCATCGATATACTCGACGGCGCCATTGTAGATCTCCAAAAGTTCTACAAATCGTCGTGTGTTGCGCGTTTCGTCCACCACGAGTTCATCCATCACCTTGTACTTTCCATGCTTGACAATGGCATCGGCCATCTCGAGAAAAATAAAGGCATCCTCCAACAAGCTCTCATCTGTCGTCAACCATCGAGCCACTTGTTCTTCACCGTACACGTCCAGGAGCGCTGCCACATCTTGCACTCGCTGGTTTCGTGTGGGTGCCGTTGCATTGGCCTTGCAGTGATCGTAGTACTGCAAAGCGTGTTGTCGTGTGTGCTCCTTCTTGATGTCCTCGTACACATCTCTCTTGAAGCTCGCAGCCTTGATGTCGTCGGCCAAGTCGAATTCATTCTCTTCCTCCAATTCATCGACACTCCGAGTGGCTTCCACCTTGGAGAACCGTTCGCCTTGGCTCTCCACATACTCCACGACATGGACCGACCCAAAGGAGACACTCTTCTTCTTCTTCTTGTCTCCTCCGGCCTCTTCCGTGGTGATTTTGGACTCGACAGTAAAGTCTTGTCCAGCGTTCTCTTCACCCCGCACGCAAACCGTTGTTGTTTCCTCCACAGCATTCACCGTTCCATCATCATTGGCATCATTTTGAGTTTTGGTGGCACTAATTTGTCCACCAACGACCATGACACCCCGAGTCGCAATTGACGCTGCAGTCGCCGCTGCAGTCGCCCCGAACTTCGTACTAGCCATAACATCCATGCCAGCCGTCGTTCCGTCATTGTCACCGCATTCAGAGATCCCGGATGGACCAAAGAACACCATCATCTTAACGTAACCAAAAGCAGTAGTAGCAATAGTCTTGTCCAGATGGGAGCACTTCAATAAATTCCGTTTACGAAATCCAGTGAAGTAAAAAAGTGAGCCTCATCATGGTCGACATTTTTTCATTTTTCGGGCGTGACGAGACAAGACAGGAGCCAAATATTTTGAAACGGTTTCGAAATCCATCAATTCTGGAGGGGGCCATCAATCCACCCCTGATGGAACCAGACCGACCGACTGATGGGTGTCTCTAACAAGAGACAATGGGCTGCCAAGTGGTCGGCAAGGCTCATGTAGATGGACAGGGAGTCTGTTGGCTCTGTTGGGTGTCTTCCTTGAGCTCTTCTCGTCGCTGTTGGGCCAGTTGGATCCTTGATCGCCCTGATGACTTTGGATTTCGAGTTGCTGTCATCCAGTCGTGTGTAATCCTTAATGCTGTCGATGCACGTCATTAAATCTTGCAAACTCTCTTAAAAGACTTTTGACCTGGATCTTAAGTCTTTTCGCACCTCAAGACCGGATCCAACCAAGCGAGAAGGACCTGGGCCACCACCGCACCACCGCCCTGCTTATGCTCTGAAAGGGACCGGCTTGAGCCTGAGTGGAATAAAGGGATCCCCACCTTGCCGGTAAGCATCAATGTACTTGCTCTGCCCTTGCTCAGGCTTGGGCGGTGCCCTCTCAGAAGTGTATGCCTAGCTAGCTAGCGTAGTACTGTAGCAACAAGGTAAAACCGGTATAGCTGATACCTAGACCACACCCTTTTAGCCACCACTGATAATGATTTTGCATTTAGATTGCAGACTGTTGCCGTCACGCAGCCCTCCTTTGATTGGATAAAAAGAAACAACTCTCGCACACCCCACCTCATCTTTGGTGTTGCTAGCTAGCTACAAAGCTTATCACTCACCCTTTCGTTTGTTGTTTGACACTCATGAATGACGTGGAGTCTCGTAGAAATTCTACCAGTTGGACTGGTACCACACGCGGTCCTTTGCTCTCATAGCGCGCGGCCGCCACGCACTACTTCGAGCGACACAGTGAAATGAACTGGAACCTTCGCTTTTCCTTTACATGTATTCCTTCGTCCATCCACCATCAATCGTATCATTGTTTCGAAAATTCCTCACTCCTCTCGCAAGTTGGTACTAATACTAATAAGATGGCCAAGAGACGATCCAAACGCAAAGCCACCGTGCTGGAATCGCTTCTGGAGGGTGGTAAGCTCCGTCGCTCCAAGCGCAAAGCCGCCATTCGTGACGAAGAGCACAAGATCTATGGCGAAGACTATGGCATTTTGCCCTCGGACTGATCTAAAGTGGCCGCATCCGCAATTCCAAAGAGGTGAGTTTGTCTAATAGTTGAAGTGACTGAGGAGGAAAGCGCTGTCGAATAAGTAGAGGAGATAACCAATGGGTATCTTCCATTATCCATGGGTATCGTGGTGGCAGCCATTGTTTCGTGCACTATTACGTCGACGGAAATTCTCGTTATGCTGTGCTCTTCGGGTTGAGCGGCACTCAAAGAGTTCAGGTGTTTGCATGACTGAGCAAGATCTTTTGCATCCTTTGGAAAAAGATGAATGGCCCAAAACTAAACTAACTAAACCGAATGCTCTCTTTTGCTTTTGTGTGGCCGCAGGGTACCTTTGGGATTCGTTTGCGGTTATCCACTGAATGGTGGGGAGTTATACGGAGGATCCATGTTCATAAAGTCCGCGGCAAATGATACTTTGCAAGGCAAGGCCATCCAGGTAAGTCCATCTTTGGGGGTATCTCATGGGTAGCTGACCAGCTACAATGCCAAAAAGTAATGATCCCTCACCCAAATCATCTATCTACCCTGCCAGGCGGTGAATGAAAAGTGGGGTGAAGATTTTAGACAATGGGGAGGTCACGAGACTATAGGAATCCCTGTCTGCAAGAAGAAGTATTCTCCATTCTCCTTCAAAATTGTCAGGCATGAAACAGAGGACAGCGACTGTTCGGATGACGAGGAGGAACAACAACAACAAAAACGACGACGGCCACGATTTGAGGTTGTAGTCGATCGACGATTTGGATGCAAACTTCATTCGTGTTGTCGAAAGAATGTCATTGAGAAATACGGAGTGCGCAAGGGCTGGGAGCCCTTTGGCCAATGGTCCATGAAGAAAGCATTGGAATTGGCACGAAAAGAAACAGAGAGACTGAACCAACGTTCGGAAGTCTCTGGGTCATCTTCTGCTAGTTCCGACTGCAATACTTCTTCTTCGGAAGATTGGACTTCTTCGGATGACGAACGAATATCCAACAACAATTCACTGCTTTCCATGTGTAATAATGGCACATGCACGTGGAAAGTCAAAGCAAAATACGACAATATCTATGCCGAAGTTACGGGCAGATCGGAGTCTGATGACGAAGAATAGCACCTACGTGTCGCTGAAGACGCGACAATTGGCTGTGGACGCTCCAAGAGAGTGAGTACGCAACAAGTAGTCTTTTTCCAATCCCCCCAGACCTAACTGTTCAATCAGGTACCCAAATCGGTCTGGATGGGGAAGCTGGCGTGATGTGCACAACCGGAATGACGCAAATTGAAGCCTCTAGTGCTTCGTTTTGCTGAGAAAGGATTGGCACTGGCCTGTTGGAATTGACTCTTTGGTTGTCTTCTCTTTTGTGAGATATTATGGGTCCACTATTACAGCCATACGATACGATAATAACTGATAAGGAAACGCTTTTCTTCAGTCAAAGCTTTCATTGTGGCATCCTATGGCATCCGAGACACCTACAATACACTCTGTGTAACCATCACTGTCGACCAGCTGAGTACTATCTCTTCGCCCTCTCCAGACAAGGCAGGCACCGGGTAAGTCCCACTGGTTTGCCTTGAGTACGGACGTTGTAAAAGATCCTTTTGTGTGTATGAACTGAAGTGAGGACACACGAGTAAACCTCCATGGTACTGCACGATCGTTTTTGTGGCTGGATGTAGCTGAGTAATCAACAAACAAAGAAATTTTTTGTTTGAAGAGGACAAGTAAGTGTTGCCAATGACAAGTCTGTTTCCAGATGTGAAGCGACAACAGATAGATAACACGATGTGGTCAGAGAAGATGAATTAATTATGTGATTCAAACGATCCGTTCGAGGCTATGGATAGATGTGAATTCGCACGAGGAAGAACCCTCAAGGGAGACGCAACCGTTGCACATTCAGCAAGCGAAGAAGCGAGTCAGCGTTTAGGCGTAAGATTAAAGGCGCAGTGCCATAGCCCCTCTTTAATAAATTTACCACCATGGAGCCTACTCTTTAAAACAATCTACTGTACGCTCAAACCACCAAGGCGCCCTGTATATGAGCTGACAACATTAAGGGTGGGATGTTGGAGCAAGTAATGGACCAGTGTTCTCCATTAGACAGCTTCGCCATTATAACATTTGAATACTAGTACGAAATGTGAGCAAGATCATGTATGCGTCGATTTTAACAGTACCAGTATAGATGAACAAAACAAAACGATCAGACACTCCATTTATCGAGGACATCCAGGAAAAGCACTGCGAAAATGGCTACAAAAATCATCCGTTCGAGCAATGTACCACTATTCGCAGTGCCTGTCTGTCAGATGCCCAAAATCTTTCGTTTCTTTTTTGCTGTTTCGGTTGTGTTGTTTGGAGTCTGTTGTGCTATCAGGCCCCGCACAATGTCCACTGCCAATGTAATTCCTTCCACCAGAAACGTCCCAATGGTGGCGACAAAGCAGGCGCCAAAAATGCCTACCCACAGTCCATCATCGATTGCCATTTCAATATATCGAGCAGGGACTTGTTCTGGTAAGACATTGACCAAAATATCAATCAAGAATTCCTTTCCAAACAGTGTATTGCAGACCCAGATAATGGCGAGTGGGGTCCAGACAAACAAAAGGGTGGCCCACACAACACTGGCGTACTTGTGCTTGGATACCCGGTCCGATGCAGACGCCACTCGACGTTTCATTTCTCCCAGTCGAACGGCCAAACTCTTGGTTGGTTTCTTTGGCTGGACCTTTACAATGGGTTGTGGTTCCTTCTTTGGCGGCGGCGGTGGTTCAACCTTTTTGGGTGCTGGCGGCGGCGGTGGTGGCACTGGCTTGATCTTGATCACCTTTTTCTGAGGTGGTGGTGGTGGGACCTTTTTGACCTTGGGTGGGGGTGGGACCTTCTTGACCTTGGGTACCTTTTTGACCTTGACTTTCTTTTTCACAGGCTTTGGTTTTGGCTTTGAGGGCGATCGTGATACCTCAAAGTCCAGCTGGACTCCTAGTTCTATTGGTGGGAATTCGATCTTTCCATCCTGGGAGTTCTTCTTGTCGGCTTTGGTGGCAACCAACACTGGGACAACTCCTACTGGACCGTGCAGCGCAGTGCTGCTACCCAAGATTGACAATATCAAGGACAAGCGAAGCATATCTCCAGGATAATTCTCTTAACCCAAGCTTAGAAGGATAACCAATTCTGTTTTCGTCAAGTAAGAGAATGCCCTTTGGGGCTACAAGGTTACAACAACCAGCCCACTAAACTCTTCAACACTTCCTATGGGCACCGCGGAAAATATTCGTTCGGATTGCTTTTCAGAGGAAGATTTCCTGACGTCAGACTCTTTAGCTCTGGAAGCACACTGTTTCTGTCTCCTGACGTAATAAGATAAGGCTCTTGCGATTGACATCTTGACCGGAAAGCCTTTTCGATTGGAAGCCAAATCATGATTGAAACTCTAACTCTAAAAAAGTATCCAGTTAATTCAAGCGGTTATTCGTGTCACGATTCTTGTAATTCATACCGGACCTGTATCCGGGCGACAATCCGCCCTTCACAAATAAATCAATTGCAAGGTGAAGGTAGGCATTGCCAATTCCACCACCATCTCGTCTTCGCCACCCATTTGGATTGGAGGGCATCACGCTGCTTTACATACATGTACTAGTACCCATTGGCATTGGTGATCGTAGGTATGCATAGCTCCATTGGAAATGGATTGCACGTTTTGGCAGTCCGGTCCTCAACCGTGGATACCTACTGGGATACCGTACCCCTCCCTCCACACTCCAACAAGTTGGGTGGAGTTGCAGCGTGGGTATCGTGCATGATTTGAATTCCGGCAAGTAACACGCTCCGAGGATTGCCTAGACTAGACTAGGTATAGCTAGTATAGTTGACTGTACTGGTCGTGCGTGGATGGTTTCGTTTGGTCAATGTGTTACCCACGAGAGTGCAGACGCACGATGCTTCCACGTCCAATGAAGCACATGTAACGGTCTTTGGTGAAACGGAACGAAAATATCCCAAGAATGATTTTCTGGCCAATTTTGTCTCGCTCTCTTGCCTCTTTGTAGTTTGAAAACGAGTGGCTGGTGTTATCTACATGAATTGCAACAGTTCCGTACGTTTGATCGACAATAGGAAGGAGTATAGGTACGTATGGGTAGCAAAACTAGCTGGTTTGGCTATGGAAGGTCAAGTGAGATCAATGGCGTCTCCAACTACGGAGTAGCATTGGCTTTTAGTCATTACATCCATCTAAGAGGCATACTAGGACATGTAGATAAACGATGGAAGAAGGCATCTTCCAACCAAGGCAGCTATAGGTCTTTGTCCTGGCACCAGCAACATGAATGCAGCCATGTTACCCATGATAAACGCAAGGGTAGCAGTCTAGCTAATAGGAAGCAGCCCGCAACTACTAGTAGTGTTGTCACACATTATCTTCTTGTACCTGTGTCTAGCTAGCTACACTGTCATAGCTAGAGCCATCATAGAAGGATGATAGACCTACATGTACCGGTGGTAGTCTACCGTAGTCGGTCAGCTGAAATTTATCAATTGCAGCAAAAAGTGAGTATTCTAAATATAATTTACTGGGATTGACAGAGACAAGCCTTCAGGCTGGAGTTCTGGTGCCGAGTGGCACGAGGCAACAGAACTGTGGCTTGATGGGTTGACTCTGTGGTACTATTTCTATGGATTATATCGATTGCATTCACACACACCATTGGTGTTAAACATCAATGGTTGTTGCACTTTTTCGCCATTGAGGGCTCATCAGTACTCTCACTGGGGTTGCATGGTTGAACCGGTGGAACCGTGGTTTGTGACGGCATGTATTAAATAGTTCTTCACACTGTTGAGAAGTGTAGAAGGTTTGTTTTCATACGTTTGAAGATGTGAAGCCGTTCTTGATTACATAGAACAGTCATTTGTCCCGAACGTTTTGACTGTGACAAGGGGTTGCCCTGCCACAGTATTTTGAGGTTGTAGAGTTTCCGAATGTCAGATGCTGTGGGGTCTCCTGTGGTGGTTGCCACTGCTTTGGCAGCAAAGTGCCAAGCAAAGGTGTCCGAGTTCTTGGGTTTTTGTTTTTTGCCGCGTAGGAATTGGCATAGGCGTTTTGTTTCACTGACATGTGATGACATTTGAGCTTGAGGAAGTTTTGTGTGGCGCGATGTAGGATTTGGGGCTGGATGCAGTATTGGGGGGTTGGGTGCTTGTTCTTCATAGATGACAATGGGTTTCTGCAGTGGTTGTTGTAGGAACATCCATCTGTCAAACGGTTGTTGCAGTTGCATGGGCGGGTTGTAAAGTCAAGGAGACAATTCCAGTATTGAGCTTGTCATAAGGTCTCCATTGAAAATTTCTCGCAGGTTGGTGAATCTGTGGTATGACATTGCAGGTCTAATCCATTTGAGGGTTGGATACTTGTTTTGGATGAGGTTCTGAATCATTCCAAATGGGAGTTGTCCAAGCTTTGGAGTAGCCAATGCAAAAGTATGTTTTTCTTCTAGCATCTCGTTTCTTTGTTGGAGTTGCCGGTTTGTTGGAGATTTGGTTTGAAGTGTGATTGGCTTTCGAAGGTGGGAATCTTTGGCATTGTGTGCTTGTTGATGAGGTTGGATGTTTCAAAGCTGCAAAGTGGTCAGGGTACAGATCTTGGAGTGATGTATCTGCATTATCTTCTGTGACTGTAGTGAGCTTTGCTAACCTGTGACACACTCCTCTGGGAATGGAATCGAAGCAGGTTGATGTGTGGGAGCTGCCTTTGTTGAGGTAAAGGAGTTGTTGGTTGGGTTTCAGGTGAACTTTGAATTGGAGATTCTGTTGATTTTGCCAGTACAGATCCAGATCTAGGTATGGGAAGTGTGTTGCTGTGTTGACTTGTACTGGTGCTTTTTTGTCGATGATTGGATGAGTAATTGGTTGAGTATCACTAGCTGCCCAGATTTCCATTGTGAATTGTAGGTAATCACCTTCGGCAATCTGGTTGATTCGATCTTGGAAGGTATTGCGCCATGTTAGTAGTTCATCATAGGAGCGTTTGCCTAGGAATACCAGGAACCCATCATCTCGATACAGACCTTCATAGATGGTGTCTTCAAAGCATTCCTCAGTTTCTTCAAGAGCATAAGCACCAGTGAGATCGGCAAGCCATGCAGATTCATGTCCTCCAATGGTCAGACCTCGTTCAGCTGGGTTTTGGTCACCATCATATTCATAATAACGGTCTTGGAAAACCAAATAAGTGGATTGCATGCCAAATTGGATCATTTCCATGCATAGTGCAATTGTGTCTTTGACTGATTGTGGCAAGTGTTTGGAGAAGTGTTTCACTGCCTTTTCCACTAACTTGTATCGGACCGAAGGATAGAATGCTTCAGCGTCAAGTGAAACGATGGTACAATTGTTAGGATTGAGATTGAGGGTTTCTAGTTTGGTTTTCAGGTCTACTGATTGGATGATGGTTTTAGACCTGTAATCGATGTTGTGTTCTTCAAAGATCTTTTTGATTGCCAAGTAGCCCATTTTGGGATAGGCTGCTACAAAGTTCTGAGCGGGTACGAGCAGGCGAGTTGGATAGTTGCCATTCTCATCTGGATGCTTGTGATCTTTCACTGTCAGTTTGGGGGTGGGAATGGCATGGGATCGGAGGGATTGACTTATAAAGCCATACTCTCCAGATGATAGATGTGGTTTAATTTTCCGTAGTAGTTCAAGGCCTTGTACTTTAACCTGGTGAAGATCTGAGTGGGAAATAGGTTTGGCCCATTGGCTGAGATGCTGTAGTACTTGGCTAATGTAGAATTGTTTGGATGTGAGACTGAAGGAGTTTGTTTTGTCGGTTGGAACTACTACAATATCTGGATTGTTTCTGAGAAGTTGTTGCATGTGTTGGATGTCCTGGGTGGTTGGGTCAGAGGAAGTAATGTGTTGGTAGGCATAAACCATATTGAGCACTGCGCTATTTTAAAAGATCTTTGAGGAACAATTCCAAGTCATGGCTGCCTTGTGCTGTTCCACAACAGCGGGTGGGTTTGAGGTTAGTTTTGAGACCAACTGGTAGTGCAGATATGATGGAAGAGCTAGAATTGGATGTGGTGGTTGAGTTGTCGTGTTGTTGTTTTTGTTGGTTGATGAAATCTTCTTTGAGGCGGACTGTGGTAGCAAAACGTTTGAGGCCTTTGAAGGCATCTGTAGCTACGACATCAAAAGGAGGGTGGGGGACAAACTTTTGGCTGGTTCCTGTCACTATTCGGTGTACCTCATCCGTAAGGGAGAGATTTGTAGGTTCTGGGTGTATTGGAGTAGTGACAATGTCGGTTGTGCCCATCGCATTATCGTGAGGTGGTGTGGTGTGTGTGAAGCCAGGGTTGTTGTGTTCTTCGAAACTAAAGTCGGAGATTGTGGAAATGCTGAAGGTGTCTTGCAAAGAATGGTCGTCAGTCATCATTGTAGTGGAAACCAATGTGTCTAGGCTGCTCATGGAGATGTCATCCAAAGGGACGATATCTGTTGGAGTAGGCACATAGATGGTTGGCACGGAACTTCCCAATGATAGTTGGTTCGAGTTAGGGGATGCTCGAGTTGTCCTGCTACCCAATGGTAGTTGGTAGCTCGAAGAATTTTTTCGGTGACAGCAGGGTTCTGGTTGTGGCGAGCTCTGTTGGATCGTTGATTTATGATTGTGTTGAGTCTCTGCCAGTCAGGTGTTGTTGTTGTGTCTGGTTGTAGAGAGTCTGTGTGAAAGATGGCTAGGGGAAAGGTATCAATACTAGAAGTATCCTCGAAGTTGAGTGGCGTCATGGTTTGGGTCGAGTTCTCATCCCAATTGTGGGGACTCTGCGGTATCTCTGAAGATGGGTTTCTGTACCAATGGTGTTGGGTAGTTGTTGGTGATGTTTGGACACCTATTGTATTTCCTGTGTGTGGGTGGAATGGCTTCATGGTCGTCGTTGGAGTGTTATTAATGTAATCGATTTTGGTGCGAAGGCTTGAATTTATCAATTGCAGCAAAAAGTGAGTATTCTAAATATAATTTACTGGGATTGACAGAGTCAACCCATCAAGCCACAGTTCTGTTGCCGAGCAAGCTAGCTCCTAGCTAGCTAGAGAGGCTCTAGCTAGCTAGGTGCCAAAGCGAAGCCACTCGCAACAGCCTGACACGCAATAGGATCTCATTTGAGCCCAGTTTTGACATGGCCCGATCTTTCCACTTTGATCTCACTGGCTGACAACGCCTTTTCACCTACTTAAAAAGCTCGTCACCAGTCGTCGAGAGAGCATCATTTTACGTTGATGTGATTTCCTCTTCGCTCCTGGCTTTGTTCCTGGCGTTGGTTGCCGAGCAACCTGGCTGCCTCCGACGGTCTGCGCTCCGCGCGGTTTCGCGCAGGAGGAGAAAAGAAGGAGAGAAAGAAAAGAGAATCCCGTTATCGATTTATTCACTAGCCCCTATAGTCTCGCAAGTCCCAGTAATTCTGCTCTCTAACTCTCGATCTGAATAGATTTAGAATGTCGAGTTTTCTAGTTCCGTTTCTAAGCTTAAAGTTGTACTGTTATTTGACGCAGTATTCAGCTCCCAAAATTTGCGTTGGCCTTGTCGAAAAATCTCGAATCTTGCGAGTTGCAGCACTACTGTTTTAGTATAGGCCGCGCATACAAGTCACCGGATCAATTTTGGGCGCAAATCCAGCACCGTGGAAGCACTCATTGTACGTGTATTCAAATAAAGCAACAGCAACACCAACACAATGGTGGCAGCAAACGATGTGCCGAAACACTTGAGCGCAGCTCAATGGAGCTTCATCAAGAAGGTGAGGGTGAATATCAAGCACAATGGGAAGTCTTTCTTTAAGGACTTTAGCTGGAAATTGATACTACCACCATTTGGGAGGTTCGACAGTTCTTTACTCAACACCACCGACAACCTCACAACAAGCAGAGGAGACTTCTACTGTCGCCCCATTGTGTGCTGGGCCCCACATCTTCTCATTGATAATCATGTCCCCTGCTGTCCTCACTGCAAGAAGAGGGATCAGGTGGATGTGGTGAAAGCAAAGTGGATCAATAGTCCCATTCCCTTGTTTGGTGTGGAGCGCTACAAACTGCTTGATAGTTTCCTTTATCCCTGCGAGCGATGCAAGAAGCACTTTGTGGGCTACAACAAGAAATCCATGCAACTGGATGCAGCTGTGTACAACGGGTATTTCAATTATTTCATGGGTCACGGGTATGGGGTGGATGAAGATTTGCACGCAATGGTGGTGGAGGAGTCCCTGACAAATGCCACATCTGCTATTGCGAAGCGACTGAAGGTACTTGCCTACAATGCCTACTACAATGATTACCAACTCTATTTATCGGCAGTTGGAATGAACAAGATTCGTGCACCGAAGCGGCAGAGAACATTGCGCGATCATTTTGGGGCAGCACCAACAGATCCAGAACTGGCCAGACTTCAACGGAGGCGATCAGATCTGTACAGCAAGGTGACCCGAATCCGGCTGGAAATAGAGGAGGCAGAGTACAAGATGGGCACCGACGTCTTATTCAAGCATATCATGGGTGACAAGGACAATCACAATGTTCACGGTGCTCGGAATATCCTCCCAGGTCTTGGTTCCACCAAGCTTCGCTCACTTGAAGCAGCTGGTATTAACTCCATGTTTGAGCTTCTGAATGCTAATCTAAATGATTATCCTCACTACCGGTATCGTCATTTATTGCCTCGCTGGCAGGAGCTGATATTGAATTACCTGGAGACGATCCACCGAAAAATCCAAGTTGGGAAGGGGCAACTCCAAAGTGCAGAGGATGACTTAGAGACCTGCGTTGACGAGCTTGTAAGTTGTCAGGAGCGAGTGAATGAGGAGCAGGAGCGAATTGACAGGAATCCGTATCACAGCAGGCGAACAAGAACTACTCCGGCAACAGCGGCACCAGAGCAATCGAAGCCTCCCCTTTTCAGTGATTTCACCGACAAGCAGGGTTACTGTGGGAAGGTACTCAGCAAGCACCGAATTGACAGCATTGTGACTTCCTTCTTCAACCATAGGAAGGAGTTCCAAATTCGGCAAATGATGGGTCTCACAGCTGAAATCCTGAAGATTGATTTTAATTACAAGATCGCTTCCAAAATCCATGTTTGGACCAAGCAAGGCCAATCCTTTGCCCCTTACAAGTGTATTGTCACAGTGCAGAATGAAGATGGATTTACAGTTTTCTGGAAGGCGCTGAAGCACTCAGAATCCTTTCGCGAAATTGAAGATGATCTTTGCAATCTGCGGGGGCGACTGAATCGCAATATGAAGGCCAAGAAAAAGGAAGCAAGAGAGAAGCTTGTTGCTGATTTACAAGCAGCAGGGCAACCCATTCCTGACCAAGTTGAGGGGGAGGACGAGGATTCGATCAAGGTGCTGTACGTGGATAACTGCTGTCAAGTCAAGAACGTTGTTCGTAGGGTCTTCGGTGACAACGTGCAGTTGAAACTGGATGTGTTTCACTTCATGAAGCGATTCAATGATATTCTACATGAGCCCTCTTCCAAGCAAGCAGGTGTCTTTCGCGGTTTACTCAATCGAGCCTGCTTCATGGTGGAACCTGGCGAATATGACAGAGCCAAGGAGCACTTGGAAGAAAAACTTGACCATGCTCCAAGCAACAAGGAAATATTGAAGTACGCCAACTCTGTCATTCCACCACCTGACATCTTAAGAAAAAACATTGAATCAGTCATCGCCTACTGTCAAGGACGTGATGCTGAAGTAGTTGCCCACCTGGCAACTCGCCGTGAAGATGACACTTCCCCAATGCCGAAACGATTCTTTTCATCCAATGCCACCAAGCTACAGAAGGTTGTTCAAGAACAAATGAAACATGTCGATCGTGGGTGTCTTTCTGATCCAACTGGTGTCAACCTTTTCCGCTACAATCGAAAGAAGGATATCACCTATGTTGCCAGGGGAACCAACACCAACGAGAGAGATAACTTGGATCTGGCTCACAATGTCTTGATGGCCACACACATTGGTAAGTTCAATTTGGTGTTAACGTTCAGCCACAGTTGAAGTTTAAACATCGCGTATTTCTCACTGTAACATCGCCAATGCTCCTTTTACAAGGCATCCACCGAGCTGATCGCTTAATGTGGGGTTTCTTCGAACAGAAGAATTACAGGAAGAGTATTATCCGTCTGGGTAGCCGAGACTATGGTACCTGTCAAGTGGAACGGCTACTGATGTTGAATAACTATGCCCTTGCCGTTGGCTATAGTGAAGATGAGCTTCCATTTATGGATGTCACCGCTCCTCGGATCGACAAGGATGCTCCCAAGGAGTTCATGGGCTTTAATTATTCAATCCCTGAGCAGGATTTGGATTCAGAGGAAACAGATGAGGAAGCAGATGGCGAGGAAGAGTTAGAAGACGATGGTGAGGAAGACATCCCAGTTCCAGTCGAAGAAGAGGAAGACACCGCTGACACCGACAGGACTGTACAAGAGACAGAACTTGCGCTATTATCTGAAAATGATGTTCTTCAAAAGCGGGATCGAGAGAACCGCCGATTTATCCAAGAGGAATTGAGCAAGCTGCTACCTGATAATGACGGGCGTGAAACAACACTGCAAGCCTTCAGTCGTCTTACAGAGAATGCTCCTTGGATTCCTTTCCGGATGCCCAACAGTAGCACCACGGCCACTCCACAGGATCGAGAGGAAGCACAACTATTTGATGAGATGCAACAGCGCTACCATAGGAGGGGTGGCAATGCAGCAACAAACTACCACGCCTTTCAAAGAGATTGGAACAATGAAGCTTCAAGGCGCTTGACATTGTGGAGCCAAGGGGATGAGTCAATACTACAGATCAGACTGAAGTCGGCAGCTTTTTTAGCTGACTACTTTGATGCCAGAAAAGAAAGTGAGGCACTGCAGACACTGGTTCCTCATGGACAGCATGCCCAAAGGGACCAACTGAACAACCAGCTGAGGATTGGAAGACAGGCAATGGCACCAACAAACCCACCACTTGCTGTGACTCCTCCAACAATGGTCAACAATGGCAACACTGCGCCTCTTGGGGTACCAGGAGTTTTGAACACTTTCATTTTTGGTGGAGCGATTGCTGGTAACAATGGCAATGCCAATGCACCTTTTGTCATGACTTTGCCTAACCTTCCTACCAGTCCTCCACCCAGACCAGCAAGGAGAGTCTTCAGGAGCAGGAAGTATTGTGTTACCTGTGGATTCAGGAGGTCTGATCATCACTTACAGGAGAGGCCAGGAAAGGAGTGCAGCAGGGACTATTGTGGCAACTGCAGAGAGAGGAAAGAGTGCCATTCTGATAGTGATGGATGGGGAGTTACATGTACCAAGACTACCCATGAGTTACTTGCTAGGGAAAAGCAAGAATGGTATCAGCTGTCACAGGTAAGTTGCTATTATTGTTACCGGTGCCACCACTTGGATAACAAACAACAACAATGTTTACAGTTGCTGCTTCCTTCTTTTCTTTTCAGACATGAGACATATTCAAGGCATTGAGTAAGCATACACTCCATTGTGAGCAGTGAGAGAAGCCCTGTGCATTATGTACTGCTGGCTACTGATCACCATTCCACTCAAGTTGTGTTTGTGCTTGCTCCAGCACTGAGTGTCAAACCAGTGACTCCACTCTGTAAGTAAGAACTCTTTGGCTTCCCACTCCCACACACCAAACTGAATATAGAGAGCATCCCTCATAAGTGGTCTAACTATCATCCTGCACAACTCTTTCTTCGTCATAGGATCTCCTTCCTCCACTACCAAAGCAAGCAGAGCAAGGACATCACTGTACCACTCAGAGCTCTGCCTCACTCCCCATCCAGTCATGGTCTCCAGAATCCAGGTCATATCAGGTGTCATGGGCACAGCTTTTTCTTCCATTATGAGTTTCTCAACCATGACACTGGGAAGGTACTTTATCTTTAGAACAAAGTACTGGCTGTACCTGTTTGCCCTGTCAGTTTCATCTACCAACAAAACATACTTGAGTTCATAGCTCTGCCTGGTCTTTCGAATCTCATTGAATGGGTAGTGACTGTTAACATCTAGCCAGTGTTTAAAAACAGGAGTAGCTGTGTGCAACATGGTGATGTACTAGCTTTGCTGTAGTTGACTGTGTAGGAAGAAGAAATCCAATGACTTGAGGACGTTTCGCGATCTTTCGTACGGAGCGAAAATGTGAGCACTAAGAGAGGACGATTTGTGGGAGAGGTACAGTGCACCTCTGCGAATAAGTCTTTCTTGTTCTTTGGTCACTGGGAAGTTAGGTTGACCGTTTTCGAAATTTTGAATTTACTGTGTGGATTGTACTAACAGTAGATTTACTTAGACGAATTAGTGTCCAACGGTGTCATATAAAAATTTCAGTACTCAGTTACTAAGACTTACCTCGATTCTCCCCCCTCCGACGCCTTCATCAATGAACATATCGGTAGCAATCCAATATGCTGCTTACAGGAAGGAGCTCCACCAACGAAACGCTGCCATGAAATAACTAACTACTAGCTAGCTAGCTACTAGTAGTACCTGGAGGTTCAAGCTAGCTGTCAAGTTCCCGGCTCCGTCAAACAGCAGCTGCTTGCTACACGTTTTCGGTTCTCTGGGGTGTCCGTTGGTGTTCTTTTGTGATTACCTGCAGCAAGATCCGGAATGATCAATCCACGTCAAAACCGAAATGTTATGATCTAACGGGTTTCGCTTCTTTGTTTATTTCGGAATACATTTTGCTATTTTTACTATATGACATTAGAGTGGCTAGGCATACTGTAGATAGATCTATCGTTCCGAAAGCCTTTTCGATACCGTACCGGTAATTACGGAAAAGATCGCTGGTCGGGACTGTGCAACCGTTTAGTCACGATGCCGGACTTTGTAGGTGGACGAGGCACCGTAGAATGTGTGTGTTCTGTGGGAACGGCGCAGCCATCTGTTTCGCCAGTGCCCCTTCACAATACGTTGCGATCTTCTAAGGCTGCAGCAGGCTCTTCTACTAAAATTTCAACATCACATCACTCGCAAAACATCATCAGTTTTGCGCTCATCAGCTCATACTAAGTTGTCAAAGCTTTCGGCAATGGGAGACCATCGATACGGGGAGGAAGTTGGGGACAATACAACGACAACAAAACCAATTACGAAGGAACTGATCAAAGGAGGACTCATGTCACCCCGTTCGGTCAAGAACACAACTTTTGACTGCACTGGTCGGCTGCTACTGGAAAACGCGAACCCCTCATTCGTCCATCACCATGGACCATCGCGGCTTGTAGAGCCTCCGTTGATGGCAGTCAGCAGGACGACAAGACCAACCCTTCCGGTGTTGCCTCTGAAAGGTAAGATTGGGAAGGGCAGTCGAAAGATATACAACGTGTATATGATGATACCTTGATACCTGTTTGTTGTATGTAGCTTCTAAAGATCTGCTCTCATTTGGCTTCTCAATGAATGCATGGTTGCCTCATCAGTAGCCAGTGGTAGCAGTTCCGAACTCTCCTCGTCTACCAAAGGCAAGGGTGAAGATACAAGTTGCCAGCGTCGTGTTATCTTTCCCACATACCCCAGGAATCAGCAACAGACCTACAGTTGGTCTTGGATGAGACCACAATCGGCCTCGGAGGCTCTCACGGACAGCACAGGGACACCCACTACTACTACCGGTAGCACCAGTACATCTACTACTACTATTAAGGCTCAGATACCTCCAAAGGCCAGGGACGATGCCAGGAATCAACCTGTTCATGACTTGTCACCCATCAGGCCATTCGGCACAGCGCCCTTTGCTCCTTCTCTGGGATCTGTACCGCAGGGAGTGAGGCTCACGGATAGCATCAGATCTACCAACAGCGCCAGGTCTACCAACAGCATCGTTTCGGAACGCTCCGTAAGGAATGCGGCTCTACCCGACTCTGTTCGTCTTACGGAATCTCGGCTGCTGATCACGGACACAACACAAGAGGATGCCGCCTTGCCTCAGAACAAACAACTCTTGGTGCCACCAACACCCAATCCAACGTCTACCCGGCGTGTCATTAGCATATCTCCGGATGACGAAATAATGATGAACAGTGCTCCCATCTTGGCACCCGTCAACAAACAACCCCAGCATCGGTCCACCAAACGACGATCCATGAAATCACTCCTACGACGTTCGCCCAAGTACGGGGCCCCCATTCTAGAGCACGAGGAAAGTCTCCCTTCGTTGGTCGACATTGTCAAGGAAAACGACGACGATGACGATGGTTCTCAATCTTCCATGAGCAATTACAACGAGAATGGTAGTGGGACCACCACTCCACCATCGGGGAGTTTTAGTAGTAGTAGGGTCCAAACGGAATGTTCCTCCACACATCGGGTTGGTTTTGACCCCCGCGTCTGGGTCCGCGAGTTTCACCGTACACCCGAGGAGGCCAACGGCACGTGGTTTACTGACGATGATATGGATGCCTTTCGACGATTGGCACTGGAACGAATCATACGGTATCAAAGTACTGTGGAGATTATCGCTACCGGAACGGGGCGGACCATCCAACGACGTGCTTCTGTGAAACGGCAACCATGGAAAGGGCCCATCTACTCGCATGCCGCCCTCACGTTGGATGGGGAAAACGCCAATGACGCATTTATGAAGCGAAAAGTCATGGAGAAGGAACTCAACAGTATTCTGATTGTCGATCCTCATGATATTTGCCTCAAGCTTTTCTCCAAAGCGCTGCAACAAGCGTTGCCACACACCAATCTGGCTACCATTGTGACGGCCACCTCGACGGACGAAGTCTTGAAACATTTGGAACAAGGCAGGCGTTTCGATTTGATCATTGTGGAGGAGAGACTGCAGCTCTTTCATCGGCATCATGGCAATACTTTAGACAAATCCTTGTCGTCCTCTTGGAACGAGGACGACGATGACGACGACGACATGGATAACTCGTCTTCCTGGTTGTGCTCTCCGCCCAAGGATTCGAGCTATCGAAAGACTGCTACCCTTCCGGGTGCGTGTGGGGCGATTGTGTCGTCGGGGGCGGCGCTGATACAAAACCTTAGTCGATCACCACTCGCATCCAACGCCATTTTTGTGGGAGTCAGCGCACACATGAACGAGGACGAGGCCAAATTCAAGCGCAGTGGAGCCGACTTTTGTTGGCCCAAGCCCCCGCCGGTGTTGGATCAAAGCCTCTTGGAAAAGTTGGCAAAAGCCCTGTTGATCAAACGAAACCATACGCTCTTGGCATCCGAGCTCTTTGGATGATCGACTGAGTGTGGGCCTTCTAGATCCATCCAGAATGATCTTGCCATGCATAATTCACAATTCACACACAATTCACACAATCACGCCACCACACATTTCATCTGAACATTTATCATCTCAGCCTAATATTGCACCACAAACACTATAAATAAGCCTTACTTTAAGGCTGCATTGCCACCATCACTCCTGTCTGTATTGGTCATTTCGAGCTGTGATCTTGGCTAGCTTCCCCCCTCGTTTATCATGGGGATGTCGGTCCAATCGTCGTCGGAGCATCAGACGCCATCAATGAACCGCTCCCAGAGCTCTTGATCCTCTCACTTCGGTGCTCGACCATGCTTCTGCCTGTGGTTGCCTCACCAGCAAGACAGTTCCACTCCGCAGCTGCCGCCAAAGCGCCAGAAGATCATCCGAGACCGGATAACCAGCTCGCTTCACCACCAACATACCAATCTCCTGGGGTATACCGGTACCTTTTTCGACTGGATCGCATGCCTGAAATGCAGTGTCCGAACCACATACGACTATCCAATCGAGCAACGCAATAATGTTTTCTTCCCATCGGAATGTCGCCGTAGCCGCGCCTATCCTATCGTCGTAGCATGATAGGCAATAAAGGTAAAGACGCCCCAAAGATCAGTTTCGTCCTTTAGGACATGTTCTCGAGTTGCCAAAAGGGCAGCCGTTGTGCCTCTTTCGTTGCTTTCGCGGCACGGCCCAAACAGGTATCGGGGCAGGGAACAAACACGACAAGGCTGTCTGATAGGTTGTGCTGACTGGCGAGCGCCACCCCGCAACGTCAAGCATCCGCAAATGATTGGGATGAGGAGGATTGAACCCTGCAAAGTAAAGAAGAATAGAGCAGGCCTGGCATTTGCGGACGGTGATAGACCAGAGCCTGTCGCCAGCTCTCAATAGAACCTTGAAACAGCTTGAAAGCCATTTTAATGCTGGTCTCGCATGCCTCTCTGCCACGGCCAGCGAATAGACAAGGAGTCGAGATCGAAGTACACCTTGTAGTTACGCGTCCGAGGTTAACCTTCCCATTCTCACCGGACCTACTTTTCCTTTGTCTCCAGGTCGCAAAGAGTGTGTGCTCAAGGCGCGCTGAAATAAAAAAGTCCCACAAATCCGATGACCAAGTAGTCTTCAAGCATTTTCGCATAGAAAGAGCAGCGATCGAATCCAAACTGTCCGTTTGGAGATGTTTGCTTATGGAGAGCTTCAAGTTGTCGTGTCAGAAGCTTCAAGTTTTCTTTTTCTGGAGGAAGCAATGGCATGGTAAAGTAGCCTGGTCCAGTCTTCAACATTCAACACCCGAGAAGTCGAAAATCCAGCTTCTCGAATTCGCTGTGAGTCTCTAATTCGTACTGAAGCCGGCCTTGGCCTTCTGTATCATTTCCAGCAATCCCTACATATGGGTCCCTTGCACAATGATGAGCCCATTCTCGCCCGTGCCACGAAACGACGTCGCATCCGGATACAAGTTATGTAAAGGGCCAAAACCTCATCTGAGATTCCAGATGCTGCTGCATGCATGTCGGCTTCGTTGGTTTTCTGGCTGCGGTGGTGAAGATGTCCCCTTTGTGGTTGTGGTTGTTTCAGCTCTTCCTGTGTGTTGCCTGCTTCCCTCTCGTGGTCTTTGTGAAACGTGGATACTAATCGAGTCGTGTATACAGTATCCAAACAGCTATTCGAACTACAGTAGCCGCTCCTCCCAAAACCAAGAAGGCTGAGGTGTACCGGTAGAAATAATGGAGTGGGTGGCAAGGAAAGCACGGACAACAATGGCCAACCCTGATTGGAGCAATGTTGCTGAAGCACATTGTTGGCTGTAGAGTCGTTGACAAGAGTGACGATTGAAACCTCTTTTGATTTCGTCCATAGCTAAGTTTATAGCCTGTGTGACGTTTTTGTCTTCGTCTGACATGTTTCCACTCTGATGGGTTGTGGTGCTTCTGCTCCGCTCTGGGACTATGACAGCTGGCTAGCTGGGGCCGTCCAGGTGGAAGCTTCCTTCGTGCTGTGGGATCCAAACCAGGAAGATACTGCCACCGCCAGTAGTATCACCAAGAAAGAGGTACGTCAGTCATGAATAGCTTAGTCACTAGTAGGTCACAATGTATACGTACGTGGCGAGGAGAAACAAGAAAAACAATCCTCACACCTTTCGAGCGTTGTACGCACGTATCTTTCCCTTGACAACTCTTTCCTCTGCGAACCGATATCTCACAATTTCTATAGTAATCATACTTTGTTATTCCATCTCCAATATCCCATCATGGTACGGTACCTGTCTTTCGAGGATGAACTGTTGGAAAATGCCGTTGCTTGCATGTGATCTTACCTCTTTTTCTGTCTTTTTTCCACTTAGAAAATCACTTTGTTCGCCGTCTCTGCCCTTGTGGCCTCCGTCTCTGCTTTCGCACCCCAGACTAACTCCCGTGTGTCCACTGCCCTTTTCAATGGACCCACCCTTGGAGCTGGAGGTATGGCTGATACCCGTGACCCCGAGTCTTTCGAACACGAGGATCCCCGAAAGTCCATCAGTGAGGCTCCTAGTTTCGAGGAATACTTGAAGATGCGTGATAGTGGAGGTGCTGCCCCAGCCGCTGCCCCAGCTGCCGCTGCCCCCGCCGCAGCTGCTCCCGCCGCTGCCGCACCCGCCGCCACCGGAGGAGGTGGTGATGTTCTTGGAACTCTCGCCGGCCTTGAGGGACCCGGTCAGGTCTGGGGAGCTGATGGTATCGCCGTCGGCAAAGAAGAGTCCGACCTTAAGGGATACGACAACTTCGATGTTTTCATGGCCCGCCTTCAATCCACTGGAGTCGCCGCTGAATTGTCCGGAGCCGGTCCTTTCACCGTTTTCGCTCCCGTGAACTCCGCCATCGAGACTTACGAGGCAATGAAGGGACCCGTTGATGCTGCCGCCCTCAAGCTTCACATTGTCCCAGGAAAGATTGCCTCCAGCGATGTCTCCTCTGCCGACCTTACCAGTTTGGGAGGCCCACTCACCTACCGATACGCCGTCCGCAAACACTTCGTCAACGATGTCATCATTGGAGAAAAGACTTTCGGACCCTTCAGCGACTACCCCATGGATGTTGCATGCAGCAATGGAGTTATCCACGGAGTTGCCCTTATGTTCTAATTAATCACTTCGATTGCATTTGTAAATATCTAAGCATGACATTACTATGGAAAGCATCACTTCCGTCGAAGCGATCTAGAAGCAGCCCATATAGTACTATTCACATGTCGGCGGTGGTCAACGAAGGTAATAGGACGCAGCTTCTGCATCTCGTGCAACAGGATTCCGCAGGTCATCTTGGTTTTTCTAGCTAGCTAGATTGGCAATCAGAGCAGGTACCAGGTAGCTTGTGAACCGGTGTACAATCCCCAATCTTCACCCAGCACTTGCTTCACAACCGCAACTGCGGCGGCACCATTCGATATGGATTTCTCAAATCACGCCACCGACATCATGAAATTCTCGCGTATGTTTGAACTACAATGTACCCTGCTTCGAGCGAATACATACACCAAAGCCCCACAATCGCAGACCCCTTTCCTTCAGCCTTCTTCAGTGAAATTGTGGACGAACAGAGCTGGACAGGCTTGCCCAGACGAAAAACTACATCTGGGCTTGTCCAACACCATTGCTTGGTGACAGAAACATCATCACTCAACACAAGTGAAAAAGGAATGGGCTTCATGCTTCTAATGAGCACAGGTCCTCCCACAGATGACAATCCCCGTTGTCAGGACGGGTGCACTTTAGCTGTGTACTGTTCTGGCCAGCCACATAGCCTGGAAGAGAGCGGGGTCATCATTATGAAGTGGCTCGCCACTCCTTGCTGGTGGTCCAAAGCATTGATGTCGAGCTCATGTCAGTTTCTAGCTAGTACCGGTACCTCTCAAATGTCTTGATGGGTTGATTGTTGTTCAACGACTTCCTCGTCCGCGGTGGTTTTCTATTATCGGTACACGCCCCAGGTTCTTCTTTTCATAAAGGAATACCGCGGTCCCACATTGAAGATTTGTGTACCATCGAGAGAGGTCGTTGAAAACGCTCTCTTCAGTCCAAACTAGCTAGGTTTCCAATAATTGTTTGGAGGGGGCAATCTCTCTGGCCAACATCTCTGTCGGCCTTCAACCGGGTACTAATGTGCTGCATGCAGGGCATCGTATTGTATCGATTGCTTCGATTCTTGAGAGGTTCGACGGCTAGCATTCTCGTCGCGCAACTCAGGCAGATCAAGGATCGTCTCGATGCGCAGATTGTAACCGTTGGCAGTGACTGCTTCCAGTGCCAGTTCCCGAAATGATTGTGGACCAAATCCTCAGCCTTGTGTTTATTTTCATGATGAGCCCACGTGGCTGACTCCAGTCCTCACATGTTGGCTGACTCCACTGCCTCCTCACAGGAGTCCTCCGGGGCGGAGAACGGGGTCATCATCCTACACTGGCCACTTTTTGCTGGCGTTGCTGCGGTGCTCAAGCCAGTAACCTCCCAACAAACCAATCGTGAACACCCCCCAATGTCTTCAGTTCTTGCAATCATGGCTGGCAGGTACTTCATCAGCTTGGTTTGAGTGACACAAGGCTCTGGTCCTTTGGGAGGGTTGGGCCAGATTTGATGCCAGAAGTGGGTCGGCAAGAAGGTTGGGATGTTCTTCAGAAGGCAAGCCCTGAAGTTTGTCTACTCAACCCCGTGTGGGTCTGTCTGGTGATGTGGCGCCTAGAACTATCATTTTGAGTATTTAGCTAATTTTGTAGCATTTTGGCATTTCAGCTGAATCGAGCATTACCCGTATCTTAAAATAGCTGGAGAAATTTAATGCAGAAAGCCAGCCAAAAAGGCAAGTGTCCTATTTAATGCATAAAAGTCCTCAGATATAGATACATTTTATCCAAAATGTGACATAGGCAAAACTTGGATATTTGCTTAGGCAAGCATGTTCATTACTTAGATTTATATAATATACATGATGATATAATAGTAAGAGCATGCCATTGGAAAACAGTTACTGGTCAAACTAAGGCTTTTTATAGACTTATTGCAAGTTGCCTTCAAGTAGATGGTGGCAAGACGTACTTAAGATGAACTATGACTGCATAGAAATGTGGATTTAAGGTACATTGAAGTAATAGGGTTAAGGTTATTGAATAGCATGCCCAATGGGCACCAGATTCGAAAGATAATGTATTTGGCTTGGTAGTCTGGTTTGGCAGTTTATTACTTTCTTTTCCATCTTTTCTTTGGTTTTGGTTTTGGTTTTCGTTTTCGTTTTCGTTTTCGTTTGATGGTATGCTTTGACTTGCCTCTAACAACCCATGCTCCTCAAAAATGCTTACACAATCACATTCACCCGTCCCTGAAACGCATGCCCACTGGGCATAGGATTCAAAAATGGTAACATTCCTAAGGTCCTGATTACTGTATCCATATCTTGTGCAAACACTCAAACCAAATTCAAAGACTCAAACAAAAAAACTAAGAAATGACGGAGTCACACATATGCTAGGCAGCGCAGCAGCAAAAGAATCTTAACCCTAAAAAATCTGTTCACCACATTCTCCACCACCTTAATGTTTTACGTACTTTCACACCGTTAGCTTCAACGCAAACAGAACTAGACGTTATACTTCAGACCCACACGGGGGTAAGCTATGAAATTCTTGGATCTCCTTCAAGCTTACTCACTCGGCTCCGAGTGTGACTTCCCCTGGTATTCATCGGTCCAGGGCAGTCTCGCCGACACACAGGCGAGGTCCTATCCAAACTCCATGTGTGTCCTCCGTGCATTCGCGAAACACATTTATTTTCGTCGATTTATTTAGGCGTACGTATCAAGATTTCATTCCTATCCATGTGACACACATACGCAGATACGCAGTACGCGAAAGAAACACCACCGCAAATCCCCAACTCTAACGAAAATCATCCTTTTCTGTGAATACCGTGTGAGTACCGGTTTGCCAGGTAGTCCCGTTAACTTGGTGAAGTACTGTGATTTGTATAGTAAAAAATGGTACGTGTGCGAGATCTCACTTTTCGATTTTCGTTAGAGTTGGGGATTTGTGACCATGATTGAGTTCGGCTGGCTCTAACGTTCTGATTGGTCCTACGCGAAAACCATTTCCACGAAAGCTACGGTACGGCGAATTGAGAATGGGAAATCAATGGTTCGCCGTACCGCAGCTTTCGTGGAAATGGAGTGAAAGCAAGCCGAATTTAACAGTTAAATTGATTTCACGTACGTACGGAGGAAGAAAGAGGTGCGAATACCTGGTTAGGACCAACTCACAGATATCTATGGATACCAGTCGGAGTGAAAGTCCTTGGTTTTTGGCTCCAGACAAGGCTTTGGGTCCGTGACTGGTGGTTCGGGAGCATTGATTGAGACACGATCACTCGTGACTACAGTGCTTATGTCTTTGGTGCCGGTTAAGACCAGTGACCCTCTTGGAGAAGTCACTTTCCAAGAAGGACATAAGGCCGTTTTGCGGCACTTTTGATGTTTCACTTGAAGCATTTGCAATGACTTAGAGGCAAGTTACACTGAGACTTCACCGAGAAAGATCCTGGATGTGGATGAGAAGTTGGTTGCCGTTTCAATGCGAAATTTTCGACCGGCTCCTCTTTGGTTTTGGATCCTTTGTTCTTATTCCTCTCATAAATCCACCCTCGGCAGTGTCTCCACAGGTATCTCCCTTACTTCCATTCTACCGGTATCATTGATTCTCTTCTTGACCATGGCAGCAGTCGTAGCTTCCAAAGCCAAAGTGATTGATAAAGCCTTGCAAGATCGCCAAGATGGCGGATTTGACGATGTGATTGTGTGGCCTTCTTCGACGAGCCATCATAGCCACAACAGCGTCAGCGACAAAGAGGCAAAGCAGAACGAAGAAGAACTCTTGTTGGATTACGGCTACGCCGAACCCTCTCCTCGTGGGAATGTTCCTCGCCGTAGTTCACTCAGCAGCACGAACGATCCCGAGCGCCGTGCCATGCGCCGCGCATCGATTGGATACACGGGCGAAATGACGCTGGTCCTGCCCAACCATCAAGTCGTCCAGAAACGTCGTTCCATTACCTTTTCCGACGACGACACGGTCCATTCCATTGACTCTTGCTACGACTCGGACGAAGATGACGAAATCCTCAACAACAAACGCCAACTCTGGTTCCGCGCCGAAGAATACCGTCATATCGAACGCAACATTCGCAATCAACTGGCGGCGGCGGCGGACGAAGAGCGTCCCACGTGGGTGGAATATCGCGGCTTGGAAAGCATGATGGACGACAATTGCAGTGTCGCCGAACGGAACAATGCCATCCAAAGCGTTCTCGAAGATCAACAACGTCAAAAGCAATCGGGAATTTTCGATGAACATGCCATTGCCACCGAGTATCAGTACAATAGTATGGATGCACAACTCGTTGCCAATGAACGGGCCAAAGGAGATGAAAAGGATATTGAAGGGTACATGGAAAAAACTAAACAGGTGCAGCGCAAGTTTCAGCAAGCCAGGCGCATGTCGTGTTAGCTTTTAAGCCAAACGACAGCACAAACCTTTGGAGTGTGATGACGGGAAACTTTTTGAAACAAACATCCATGGAGTCAATAGTGAAGAGAGAGGAGCCAAGAAGAACTTGGACTCGAAGCAGCTCAGAAACCACTACATGCTACATATTATTTATTTAGATTCATGCATACCGGTACAAGTGTCTACATAAATATAGTCACTTGGGAAGCTCACCGCGAAAGTCAATCCAGCTGGAGTAACGGAGCCAGTGAAATTTAGTTTTTGGACTGAAGGGCAGTGTGGTCGGTGTGCAGACTTGGACGTGGGAAACACATGGGCCTTGGCAGGCTCAGAGGTAGACTTTCAGTTTTTGTTTGTTTGGATAAAGCTTTGGCTGACTTAGCAGCGACGCAAGTCCAGTAGCAAGCTTGCTGGGGTAGGGAAGCATGGTTGGTGATGCGGGCTGCATTCGATCGCGTGGATGGGAAACACTGGCTTGCACAAGCCAGCAACCACCAACTAGCAGTCTTTTATGTAGAGAAGTAACCTATCTATTACAAATCTATCGAAATGAAATGAAATCATCTATTACTCAGGAACCTAGCTATCTAGACAAAGTACTGCCCATCCAGATTCTTGGCATAACCCATTCCTGGTGCGCCATAGATGACACGGCTGCTGAGAACACCTTCTGTCATTGTGATTCGTTCTTGTACATTCTTGAAGCAGAGAACATCCTCGTGGCCGGTTGTGTCAATGTCCAAAACATTGTAAGCAATGTCACCTCTGGACTGGTTCACCTGTTGAACAATATTCAAATTTTCTTTGGCAAACGCATCTGTGATGTGTGCCAGGACACCGGGAACATTCTGATTCACAACAGTAAAACGAATAGAATGATCGGGGCGATCCGGAAGGCTAGTGGCAGGGAAGTTGACACTATTCTTGATGGTACCAGATTCAAGATAATCACGGATCGTGTCAGCCGCCATGGCAGCCTGTCACGTAACAGTCCATCAAGCCAGAGAATACCAAAATTAGAATTTTGACAAAAAATAGCAACCAATCCTCCAGGTCACAGATGATGTCTACTTACGGCAGCATCCTCGGCTTCTTCCGTGGAGGCACCCAAGTGAGGAAGAACAACAGCATTTTTGTGGTCCCAGACAAGATCATCAGGGAAGTCAGTAACATATCTGCCATCACCAGCATCAAGGAATTGCTTGATAGCATCTGAGTCTACCAGTTCACCACGAGCAAAGTTCAACAGAACAGCACTGGGTTTGAAATGACTGATCACCTCAGGCCCAATGACTCCATGGGTGCCCCCTTCGCCCTTGATGTAGGGAATGTTCAGGGAGATATAATCAGCATCTGAAACAGCAGCAGTGATAGAGTCCGTCAGCTCAAGAGCCTGAGGCAAACGGAGGGCAGACTGAACAGAAAGACCAGGGTCGTATCCTGCAAATTCAAAAAAGAGATTTTGAGCTATTATTTCGGAAATATCTGAATCTTGCAAAAACCTTGTTGTCTTACCCTTCAAGTTCATTCCCAATGCGTAGGCATCACGGGCAGTTTGTGAACCGATATGGCCTACAGAAAAAACAATATTAGCCCCCTCCATTAAAAGTTTCCAAATGGCACCTGGGATTTCCTAAACGTACCAAGCCCGATAACAGCAAGAGTCTTGCCCTTTAGTTCTTGTCCTCCAAACATGGATTTATCCTTTTCCACTCGCTCTCTTGCCAAACCCTGTTTTCCCAATTCCTTCATGTGGTTGATTCCATCCACCACACGACGGCTACCAAGGAGCATTCCACAAAGAACCAACTCTTTCACAGCATTGGCATTTGCTCCAGGAGTATTGAAAACAGGAATGCCCAGCTCTGTCATGCGAGCTACAGGAATGCTGAATTACGAAGTTTGTTGAATTAATGGAATTTGCAGAAACCACAAAAAGCAAAACAAGTCAGGTACCCCTTTCCAAAAATATACTCAGCAATACTCAGCAATACCCCATGTCATGATGAAGAGGAAACTCACTTATTTGTTCCAGCACCACAACGGGCAATGGCACGGACAGAGTGTGGGACATCTTCCTCTTGGAGCTTGTGTGAACGGAGAAGAATAGCGTGTGCATTATTGCCTTCTTCGGCATCCTTTCGAATGTCATATTGGCCAGTTGGAAATTGAGCCAATCCAATGGGAGAAATTTTGTTGAAACACTTGATTTGGTACATTCCCAGCTTGTATTGATCAATATCTCCATAGGTCTTCCATTCTCCTCGTCCATGCTCCACTTGCACATCAGCTAATCCACGGGTTGTACCGGCAGTAGCGGCAATTCGAGTGGGTACCACTCTGCGTGAGAGTTGGCCCAAGGCTCTTCCTGAAACAATCATGGTTTCTTAGTAGGATGGATGGAAACGAAGCAAGTGCGTGTGCAGTTTGCCAGGAAATGAAAATAATGCGGTTCGAATGGCACTGGCCAATCTTCTACAAGGGCAACACAACGAGTGGATGAATAGAAATGAATGGTGGGTTTGGAAGCAGAGCACGGAAGTTTGGTGGGTGGTGGATCAAGCTGTTGATCATTGGAAGCCATCAAATTTTTAACGGCCTTCCCGCGTTCGTCAGTATCCAGTACGGCATTTTCTACTGGCACATGCTACGGGGAATCGAATCCGCCAACCATGGAGTCATGAATGTGATGACGCTGACAAATCTGCTTGCCACAACCTCCTTCCCGCGGAAACTGCAGAGGAAAGGCGACCTCAGGTTTCACGTTGTGCAAGTGGGCTCCTTCCACTGGACAGCGAGGTCTTTCAACATTGCTGCACAACAGGTGTTCGAGACAGAAACAGAGGTGTGGGGGAGCGAGCGGTCAGTAAGCAAACTACTAGTATGCGCTCAACTGAACAGCGCATCTCTGGACAACAATCTTATATCTTATCTAAGCTGGCCCTGGCGGATATTATAGGGAGGCGAAGGAGGCGGGGGTTGCTGATGGCAACCAGCCATCGATCAACATCCCCCCTTGCTTGGCTGGCTGGTACCGGTACTTGAGATCTATGATAGCTACGGGTACACCGATGGAAATAGGTCTCCTGACAGGGCTGCTTTGGCATTCATAAGTTGGGCAGGAAGGATAGACCCTACCGATCTAGCTAGTTTGGGTGTAGATTGATTTGCTTCTGGACACCTTTTTTTGCCCACCGATACTGTACCCCTCAGAACCAACCGGAAGGCGGGAAGCTGCACTACGCTTGCCATAGCACTATCACACAGTACCTGGTAGCGTTCGTTTCCACCTTCCACGAAAGCCCTGCACTGAATCCGTCTTCTATTGCATCAACTGGGTTAGCAGTTTTCGTTTTGCAGGGCCAAAGGTGCGCATATTCGTTCGGGATTTCAGCTCCCAGGATAACTTTCTTTTCCTTTTGGCTGGCCCTCGGCTACCGGTACAAGTGTACCGTGTCTTTGAATCGAATGATTCGATTGATCATTCGAATGATTGAATTCGTTCGAATCGAATGATTCGATTCGATTCAAAATGATTGATCATTCGATCGAATGAATCGAATCGAATCGAATCGGCTGAGACTTGCTTCAGTTCTCATCTCCTCGTCAACCCGTCAACCCCCAACTAAACACTGGCACAGTTCATGACAGCAAACCACTCCAAATAGAACAATCAAAGCAGAAGGGAATCTTGATCTTACGCGCATTTGGATGGAAGCCTCTCATCGCTCGGAGGAGGATGACCTAACAGCAGCAGCAGCAGCAGCAGAAGAAGCACCGTCATCAGACTCACGTCGAACTGTAAAGCATCAGCATCAGCATGAGGGTGATTTTCTATCGCCCAATCTCCAACCCAATGAAATTCGATCAATTCAATGGAGCGACACGGGGTTGGCAGTAAGCGAACATGGCTACCTAATGGGTCTTCGACCTCGCTTGAGAGAGTCGTTATTGGAATATAGCGACTACATGGGTATTACCGCTATGATGAAAGATTTGACGGCCGTCACCAGTCAACACCGCCTACTAGATGATCAAGATCAGGCCACCCCCAACATACGGATCAAATTGCGCGACGACTTGGATTGGTTCATTCAACGCACGGCAGGTGTCAAGCAGTGGAATTCCAACATGCACTGGATTTCTCCCAGTGATGGCGTGTCTTACAGTCACTTTTTGAAAGCCTTGGGAGTGGCCGGGTTTGATGAAGTTTTAGAGGCGATTGGCAAGCACTTTGGCTACCGAGGATTGGTGGCCTATCATCTCAGCTTTCTGGCCGTGAGCAAGTGCGATCCCGGGACTTTCCACGTTGACGCTACCAACACCGGAGGCAAGTCTATGAATATTCTTATTCCACTCCTCCTCGCGGACGACACGGGGCCCGAACTCAACCTTAGTGACGACCAAGTGCGCGAACCTTCTACGAGTAATGATGGCACTGGAACTGGAAAATACAAGTACAAGGGTGGTCAACTAAGATATCAGTACAATGTAGCGGCCTTGGTCGGTGACGAAGTCTATCACGCGACTTCCCGGGTGGATTACCATCAGAATCATCATCAGCAGGCTCCGACCGAAATGAGATTACTCGCCACGATTTATGTGGCGGATGTTTCCTATTCCAATATTAGTGCTGTACTAGATGACCATGTCACGTACGAGGATAGCTATCCACCACGGAACGAACCCACCATTCTCCTCGAGTTGGCAGGAGCCCATTGGAAATACAACGACCCTTCCAAGAAGCTGCCTTTTTAAGCTTTTATTATTCATTAATAGTTGTTCTCTACTTCCTTTCCTTTAACCGTTCATGTAGTCTCCCAGTTGATGGAGCGGAGCTGGCCCAATATGGATAGATATCCCACAGAAGGAACCGATTTGTCCGCAATCAGCAAGAACGGAAGAGGTTTGTTTAGAAGCAATCGATCGAAGTGATTGTTCAAGATCAGAAGCACCCGAAACATGGCTTTTAAAAAATCCACCCAAAGTTGCCAGTGCCACTAACATTGCTGAATGAAGCCCAGGACCACGTTGCCGCGGCCCTGGCACTCCAAGTATGCCCCCCACCGGTGGTCCCAGCAATCACCAAGCGCAGGGTCCACAGGTCCACCCCCAGTGGCAGTCCTTACAGAGAACCTTTCGTTGCTCCTGTTGTGTCTGACCAGCCCTCCAATAGCCACTCCAACGATAGATCCTATGGACATGCCCACGACCACACCAAGCCAATCACCGAGTGGAACTCCTAGGTGGTAATGCAAGCAAAGCCCCCCAGTGGTGATCCCAGTGATCAACCCAAAGTGTCACGCCTGCTGGACAGTCCAGCAGCGAGCCATCGGACCAACCTTCCGTAGCTCCTGCAATGTCTGACCAGCCCCTCCAACGCCCCGCCTATGGATCCAAGCAACAACGACCCGGAAGCAAAACCATGTCCTCTGTGCTCGAGAAGGGGGCGGTGAAGTAAAGATTTTCATGATTGATTGGATCATTCGATTCGACCGAATCGGCTGAGACTTGCTTCAGTTCTCATCTTCTCATCAACCCCCATGAAGTCTTCGAATCTGTAGCATTGCAATCATACAAAGAAGACCACCATGAAGAACCCTCTTGTTTCTTCAACTTTGTGCCTCTTGTTGCCTGCGTTTGGCTCTCGGGCGGCTGCTACGTGTCTGCATGATGATTCGTTGGAAGCACGCCGCTTGGGAAGCTGCGACGGATTCAGCGTCGGGCCCCTTTCGGGAGGAACCTTGTTTCAGCAGCTGAGTCAGGGAGGCTTGAATATTCCGGATCAGGCATCATACAGTTGCACTTTGACCTGTGATAGTGGTGGTGGAACCACCAACTTCTACCTTGTCTTTGGCTCCAGCGGCTCGCCATCTTCCACCAATGCCAATGTGAAAAGTGAAGGCTCTTGCAATGCCGTGGTTACTGGAACGAACCCCAATGGTGACGTGACGTATGTAAGATACACCCTCAGTATCACGGGAGGATATTCCAATTTTATGATTTCTTGCACCTGCGACAGTGGCAGCAGTGATGGCGATGACGACAATGATGGACCGCCGGGTGGGGCTGATTTGCATGTATGTCCCAGTCCGGAAGTCGACTGAGTGCTGCTTGTCCATGGAGAAATGCTGCGGTAGAGATAGCATGCGCCATACGTTTGGGAGATATGATACAGTTCATGACTGTGATCTAGTGAATATCTAATTTAGCTCGCATAAGAGCATAAATGCGAATATCAAGACTTCGACATTGGGATGGATCGTCCTGTGACATGTGAAGGCTACGTTGCATAAATCAGCTCGTAATGGTGCATCACGGGTGCGAATGAGACATGCCGTCGCGATGCGATTCGCGATGATGGCGCAGAGCATAGAATTGCGCGTCGAGGTTTCCTATAATGCCGCGTTATTGACCGTTACCACAGCTAATCGAGAAAAATGACCGAGTTGAGCCCAAATCAGCTGTCTCAGAGTATCTGCCCCCAGAGAAAGCATGAATTTGGCGGGACCAGATCTTCATCAACTAGCTATCTCGACAGACTCTATGACGTTCATGGCCAATTATGAAGACAAGTACTATAAGGTGTTCATAGAAACAAATGGCCACCATAAAGGAAGTCTAAATGCAAAATACGTGTTCAGGCGGAACACTTGAGACACACAATACTACAACAACCAGGATAAGCGGTTGTCGACGATGCCATGTTGCGCGCTCATAAAAGACGAAAAGAGCCGAGCAAGCCATTAGGGCGAGAGATTTGCAGAGGTTTCTTGCTTGAGGACATACAGACAAATATATTCATGCAACTCCTGCTAAAAGCACCTACACCTTGTCTCGGCGCATCTACGGCATCTTCACGAATTATGTGCAGGGTTAGAACTACTAACGTACTCTCATTTTTGCATACACGCGCCTCATACTGGATTAGCTCACGTAGAGTAGTTGTAACTTTAACAACAGTGCATGTTTTCAACGTTCGTGAGCATAGATAACGGCCAGCACAGATCTTAGAATGTTCATTACTGTCGGTGTGGGTAGGTATTCTTTGACCTGAGACCCAACGGAGATCCCAGCTAGACGCATCTCAGCCGAACCTTCTTTAGCCCTCTGCTTGCGCACTTATTTTAACTTCCAATCATTGCTGTGGGACTGAATTTATTGTAGTCAATCGGTTTGTAAGCAGGGAATAAGAATCTTCTTCCAGATTGGCCAGCCCTCAAAAGACCCAGGACAAACAGTACCAAGGAGCCAGCAAAGCACCAAACAGATATTCCAACAGAACCATCAGAGACAGCATCGCAGCAACAGGAAGACCCGCCATCCACTGGACTGGCAAAGTCTGTGCAATGCCCCATTCCGCAAGGCTTTTGCCAACCAAGAGCCACGACAAGACACCGGGATGAAGACACCCGTAGGCGATCTCTCGGTGCTCGCTGATGGGCAAAGATTCAAAGAGAAACCCAGACAGATGTACCGTACTGGTGCCATCCAGGCATGCACGAGCATGTGCTCTGACAACCACGATCTTAACCAGGAATGTTGTACCACAGGGAGCATAGCTCTGGATGGACACATAAGTCGACGCCACGATCCCGTTCTCAACAATGTTGCCTGAAGGAGTGAGCGGCATGTACAGTCCAGTCTTCTTTGTTGCTTTGACTGCGGTGACAGTCTCTGCACCTGTCATGGACCAGAGCAAATCTCCTTTTCGCACTTGGTCGGCCCTTACGGGCTCCGATTCACCAAGGATATGAACCAAATGATTGGCTGTCAATTGGAGAGGTGCGAAACCTGCTGTGTGAAGCTCTACAAACTCCGCCTCCCAGCTCTTGTGATAGTGACCAAAGCTGTAGACTGGTTCATAGAGTTGCTTGAAAGGATCGACCAAAACGTTTTCTCCCACCACCAAGTCGCTCATTGCCACCGTCTTCCCAGCCTTGGTCTGGACCGTATCAGAGACCGAAAAGCAACCA